GAGGCACATTTCAGAGTATTTCTTACCGGTTATGAATATACAGAGAATCTCTGCTGTGATTAACTACATCAACACTATCCAGAAAAGTTTAAAACTATTGCCCAGGAGTATAAACTTTAAATGATGAGCGTTGGTAATTTGATATCAAACGATAAGGAGTGTGAGATTCTGTTGATCATCCACAATTATTATTCAAACATTTTCAGTTTTTGTAAGACATAAAAAGTACAGCTAACAAGCTTCAGAGGCGGAGAGATTAGTGATGTCAGTTGACCGTGATTGTCATGGTAACCGATGACATCAAATGCAAAGCATTGTGATGTAATTTGATTGTACATTCAAGTCTCGTTAATCCGACACTCGTAAATCCGACAATCGGCTTTCTCCAACACAAGCGATGGGAACCGATTAAATCAGTGCTATTTAGACCCGTTAATCCGACAGTCTCGCACTGCAACTCTGACACACCTAATTTGCAACGAATTGCTGAAATCACCCATTAATCCGACACAAGTGAGTGAGTAAGTATGGTTTTACGCCGCTTTTAGCAATATTCCAGCAATATCACGGCGGGAGACACCAGAAATGGGCTTCACACATTGTACCCATGTCGGGAATCGAACCCGGGTCTTCGGCGTGACGAGCGAACGCTTTAACCACTAGGCTACCCGACCGCCCCTAATCCGACACAATGATCAGCGTACTCCGTGTTCATCTGCCCACGAATATACAACCCTGTGTTTTGATGCGAGAAGAGTCGGCAAATAGCTGCATATTTCAAAGGCTGCAGAGATAAACTTGCTTAACAATATACAATTACTGCTTTAACTAAAAGCAGCCTTCTTAAGCATTGCAGGACTAGTTTCAAATTAACGACTTCCATTCTAGACTATGCTTAAAAAAGTATTTTGAGTCAGTCATACAGTCCGTAACAGTAGTTCTGTTGATAGTACCTAATTTTGTTTATCCAACATACTCGTTAATCTGACATAATCATATGCAACCAACAATGTCGGATTAACGGGACTTGACTGTATCTCCTAAGAGATATTGCTTGCAATTTCACTGTAGCTCCCGGAAGATATTTCACCCAAGCGATATCTCCATGGAGACTGGTTATGGACGATAAATTACGTTCCTCCAATGTATTCGTGAGTAATGGACAATCTCATTAAAATCAGATCTTAGTTCTTGCTATGCTAAACAAAGATCTGAGGACATCCCATTAAGGGTCACGTTAGAACGACCTTTCATCCAACCAATAAGAGCGTCGCTTACCAGATCATGAAAGTGACAGTCGGAATGTGTTTTTTAATCATGCAACCATGAAATATTTAACACGGGGTATTCCAAACGACAGTTACGGGTTTTATGATTATATCCATACAATCTAGGCCATCTATAAGCCATTCCAGAATGTTCTTATCAAAATATGTTTCGAAGCGTAGTCACCAGTTTGAAACTAGTGTCGTAAAGCTTGCGAAAGCTGCCTTCTGATTGGCTAATGTCGATTTCTGGTCAGTCATTTCATTGGTCGGTCAAAATTCGCGAAATGTCAGTCTGACATTACCCGTAATGCGATGTCCTCAGATCTTTGTTTAGCGGTAGCGAAAACTAAGCTTTAATTTTAATAAGATTGTCCATTACTCACGAATACAATTTGGCCGATATTCGGTGTAGTCGCTATATGTAACCAGCAAATCAGGTTCAAGATTTAAAAGTCCCTAGAATCAAATACTTAGAAGTGAGTGAGTGAGTTGAATTTTACCACCTCGGTTAAACCCACAGGTACAGGTATGGTGCTGACAAACCTAGAAACATAATAAGGGCGAACCGGGATTCGAACCCACAATCATAGGTTTCTGGCGTGCCCAAAGGACGCAACTCTGCACAGCGAATCATGGCGCCTTAGACGACTGGGCCACCCGTGCCCCCAAACACTTAGAAGACTATTATGACAAGAAATAGTAGAATATAGCATTTTGAGGCTATATGTACTTCTCATTGCTACCTAAACCTTATATTTACAAAATATGTCTGCTTGTGACATCCCCTGTGATGGTGGGAGTGTTGAGTATTAATGGTCGTATCACAACGAGGTAACAGCCCTAATAAGCACAGTAGCTGTGCTGTCTATAGACAAACATATACCGTATTCGACGTAATAAGCGCCCCGCTCTAATAAGCGCCCACGGCGATATTTGCTAATATATTGGCTAGTGAACAATCTAAATTAGCACCCCTTCCGATTGATCAATGTACACAAGACTTATTCATTTGTGTATAATATGCACTCGTGTGTTATATGCACCCTTAATTATGGGCATTTAAGTCCTGGAAAAATATATCTGTCATATATAAACATTTCAGGCAGTCAGCATAAACCACGAAATCTGCGATCTTTTAACACCAAAATAATATTCTGATAAGAGCCCCCTATTTCTAATTTTGAGAGCGCCCTGGGCGCTTATTACGTCGAATACGGTAGCAAGAACTTGCAAAAACAAAGAAACAGTTGTCAAACATTATTAGGATGTAAACACAGGCCTGATCTCAGCCCTATAGAAACAATCTCTAGCAGTAACAAGGCGATAAAACACATTTGCAGAGTTCCAGATAAGCTGCGTATCTGCGTATCAGCGTAAAATACGCATCAGAAATGCAGAAATACGCAATAAAATAAAATCCAAGCGTATCAAATACGCAACGAACATTACAGATACGCTACAAAAATAAAACCTGGCTTATCATCAAAATATTGTGAAGTAACCCTGCGTATTCGATCAGCAAATTAGCAACTTATTTTGAAATTGTAAACGGGCATTCCGTCAACCTTGCCAAACTCCACGATGACAGTTTCATCACGATCATTTGCCATCACACTTTCTTGTGGAAGTATCGTGGTACTTTTGAGTCCTATAAAGCTCTCGAACCCACACGACACCAGTTTGCAGGGACTAGATGAAGTGTTTTTAAATATTTAACTTAAATACCTCTAGTGTAAAAACTAGAGGGTAACAGAAATTTGAATACCCAGATAGAATTACTGATACCCAATGATTTTAAAATGCATGGGTAAAATACCCACAACACCAAGAGCTTATCTGGAGCTCTGTATTTGCTCTCACAAGAGCAATCGTCTTTAGGGCTGATCATTTGATTTTCTTGGAGAAAGGGGGGCTGGGATTGGAGGGCTTATAAATCCATAAATTAGAATAATTATTATGCTAATTAGGGCTGGGACGGGTAACTCGGGTACCCGGGTCGGGTGGGTACTGAGTAGGACTCGGGTACCCACAGAACTACCCGGACCGTGGTTAGTCACGTGATATAATGACAAAAATTATCTAGAACACTATGGTTACACTATAAGTGATAAATGTTCATACATTCCTTCTGACTTTATATGTTTGCATAATAATAAAACATCAGTCAACATCAGTGTATGCATGACCAGATCGGATTATACGTGTATCTAAATTTATTTTGACAGGAGTACGGTCAATCTATTCCCAATCGTACATGTATTAACTATCTCTTGAGACCTACAGTGGGTACCCGGGTAGGGTCGGGTATTATGGAGGCGGGTACCCGGGTAGTAAATTTGGACTCATCCCAGCCCTAATGCTAATATACTTATCCTGATGAGAAGGAGCGTGAGGGTTTAAAGGGAGGTAACTCCGATTGGTGACCTCGTGGAGATGCACGTTTGGGGTTTTGTTTCATGGGATTGATTAGAGAGAGGTAAATTTCCTATGTTGTATCAGAATCGGGGTAATGAAAATCAAAGTCATGTCATTGAGACCATGGGAATGGGTCTAGTGGTTGGTGTAGTTTACAGAAAAGCGAGCCCCAGAGATATAGAGGATGCAGAATAAGATATAACTAATATCCTCAGGTTTTCCCCAAAATATATTTCACTAGATATGATCGATGAAAACGTGCAAAAAATTAATTTTCTCCTCTCGCAGAAAAAAACACCTTAATGTTTTGAAAAAGTAACAGAACAAAATATCATGTCCTTTACAAATATCCCTGGAACCCTCCTTCTCATCCCTCAATAGTATCAGGCATAGTAATAGTAGTTAGCATTAAAATCAGATCCTAGTTCCAGCTACTGCTAAACAAAAATCTGAGGACAACCCATTACAGGTCACGTCAGAACGACCTTTCATCCAACAAATCAGAGCGTCGCTTACCAGATCATGAACGTGACAGTCGGAATGTGATTTCTGATCATACATACAGCCTTACAAGATTACACAAAGGGTATTCCGAACGAAAGTTAAAATCTTTATGACTGAATCCCTACAACCAAGGCCATCTATTAGCCATTCCAATATGTTTGTTTGTTCCATTTTCAAATTTTTAATTGAAAATTTCTCAAAATATATTTCAAAGCTTAGTCGCCAGTTTGACACTTGTGCCGTAAAGCAGGAGAAAGCTGGCTTCTGATTCGCTAATGTTGACTTCTTGTCAGTCATTCCATTGGTTGGTCAAAATACTGATGTGACCCATGATGGGATGTCCTCTGATGTTTGTTTAGCAGTAGCGAGAACAAAGATCTGATTTGAATGAGAACAGCCCCTATCGACTTGATTTTACTTTGTGGCCCACGCTAGAGGCCCTTGTACCTTTCATGTCTTTGATAAGAAGGGTTATCTTAACTTTAGAAAACTAAAATAACACTGTATCCCATTTTGCCCGTCATTGCACTTGGTTGAACATTCCACTGTTAACACTGCCGATTCTCGGTCCTATATATATTCCAATATCATAAGAATTACCGTATTCGACGTAATAAGCGCCCAGGGCGCTCTCAAAATTAGAAATAGGGGGCCCTTATTAAAATGTTATTTTGGTCGAAAAAAACAGAGTTGAAAGATACATTTCGTGGTTTATGCTGACAGCCTGAAATGTTTATGTACGACAGATATATTTTTCCAGAATTAAATGCCCATAATTAAGGGTGCATATAACACACGAGTGCGTATTATACGCGAATAAATAAGTCTTGTGTACATTGATCAATCGGAAGGGGTGCTCATTGGGATTGTTCACAAACCAATTTCTTGGGCGCTTATTAGAGCGGGGCGCTTATTACGTCGAATACGGTAATATGACAGATTAAATGACTGAAGTAGTCTCATGACTTTGAAATCTTTCATTGATTTGTTTGTGTGTGTGACTTACACATGCACCTTGTTGACATATATCTCTATAACTTGTATAAAGCACTTGTTTGTTGCATGTAGTGATCTATCTGGAAGAGGTTGATGACACCGTCGATGATGTTGTGTCGGAGGAGGCGTCGTCGATGCTGTAGCTCATGATGATGTCCTGAAGCTGTGACGACGCCCGATCCATGGACTCGGTACAGAGAGCTATTCTCTCGCGATGCCGAGCGTTCATCACGTCGTAGGCGAGGTCCCGCACGGATCGACATGTCTGGACGTTGGCAGACACGATGCTCATACAGGCACCTGCAACAGAGGACGAGCTGGAGGTGAAATGGGTGGGACTTTTGTTATATGGCAGTGTAATTATTGTTAAACAAGAGTCATCAGAAAGATGACATATCCCCCCGGCAGCTGTCTGTAAAGTAACCACAAGTAAATGTGCAATTCTGTATGTAATGAGTCAAGAGTTGAATGTTCTTTAAGAAGCATACATTGTTTACCCACTGAATGGTTTTCGAATTCTGGCCCGGAAACGAACCCGTTCCCCAATTGGAGTCTAGGTCCAACTTCTTTCCATAAAAATTGTAAAAACTAAAAAATCGTAAAAATAACAAATATCAAAAGGCACCACTTCAGTATGTGCCTGATAGCTTTGCCAAGTTTCGATCAAATACACTGAATGGTTTTCGAATTCTGCCCCGGAAACGAACCCCATCCCCAATTGAGTCTATGTCCAACTTCATTCCATAAAAATTTAAAAAAATAAAAATTAGAAAAATCCCAAAATATCAAAAGGCACCACTTCCGTATGTGCCTGATAGCTTTGCCAAGTTTCGATCAAATACACTGAATGGTTTTCGAATTCTGCCCCGGAAACGAACCCCATCCCCAATTGAGTCTACGTCCAACTTCATTCCATAAAAATTTAAAAAAATAAAAATTAGAAAAATCCCAAAATATCAAAAAGCACCACTTCAGTATGTGCCTGATAGGTTTGCCAAGTTTTGATCAAATACACTGAATGGTTTGGGAATTCTGCCCCGGAAAAGGAAATGATTACGGACGGACGGACGGACGGACGGACAGACAGACGGACAGATAGACTGGCTGATCGCTATATCCCCCCGCATTATATGGGGGGGGGGGGGGGAGATAACAATGATTGTAACTGTATTACATTGTTTCTGTTGGGATTCAGTAGAAGTTCACTGCATTTGCAATGGATAATGATTAGTCGTCAGGAATGTAGTACTATTTAATGCAAGTAGTGGTGAGGAAGTAATGATGTTTAGATGCTTGAATTATCTGTGAACTTTTGGAATAGCACGGATGGATGTCAAGCGTTACAGAAAAATGTGGAATATTCTGTGATGTTGAAGCGACACTGGAATAGTCTGGCACTGGGTAGAAAGTCCTGGATGCTGGTTAGATTATATAAATCAATCCGATGCATGCCTGTCTCATTTCACATTTCATCTCACATTGCATCTCACATTGCATCAAGACCAGCTTTTGTGTGAAGATCACTTTTCACCCTGGTGTTCACCCGAGGCCTATCTCGGAAGCGTGACTACTGTTGCGGCAAGTTGATTATTATTCTTGTCAATGTCATTTCCACTGCTCTCACTTTTTAATGACCACTGCCATCATATTATGTATTGCCATTGAATATTGTACTACCACTCTGTTGAGTACTGCCATTGAATATTGTACTACCATTCTGTTGAGTACTGCCATTGTAAATGCTCTGCAGTAATTCGTATTAATTAGTAAACCTAGTAAAATTTTAATACAATTGTTGAATGTATATCATTCGTTGGTTGTTTGTTGGTTTCACGCTACATTTTTCGTATAGACTTCTGGGCTAACATATTGTTTCAATTTGGGAATAGACACGTAACACTTTGCTTTCAAAATTATTGCTTTTGTATAGCGACATGCATGTGTGTGTGTGGCTCCTTGTACAAGTCTGGTCTCATGCTGGTTTTGTAGCACCAGCCCACTGAGACACAGTGTTTGTTTGTTTGTTCGTTTGTTGTTTAATGCCGCACTCAGCAATATTCCAGCTATACGACAGCAGTCTGTTAATAATCGGGTCTGGACCAGACAATCCAGTGATTGACATCATGAGCATCGATTCACGCAATTGGGATACGATTACATGTACAACCAAGTCAGCAAGCCTGACCACCCGATCCGTTAGTCACATTTTACAGCAAGCATTGTAGAAGGGAGATAACTTATACTAGCTGGTGGCGCTACGATTGAGACCAGAAACTCCAGCCTAGTTTGCCAAGGGTGAAAATTGGACTTTTTACAGTCAGTTAAACCCCTTGCCTTGGGAAGATGGACCACCCAATCTCGAGTCGCCTCTTACGGCAGGCATGGGTTGCTAGAGGCCTTTTCTAAGCCAGAGCTTCACAGGGAAGTTTTCTTGATGGCAAGATTAATATCAGAAACACAAACGGGTCTGTAGCAGTTGACCGTGGAATATAATTATTTTATGAAAAAATAATAATCTAGAAATGCATACAAAAGCAAGTCTAGCCAGCTCAAGCTAGCTCTATTCCACAGCATAGGGAATTTTTTTTATTTTTAGAGTCAAGAAGGATATTGTGTAATATAAGATTTCAGAGACTAAATGTTAGTCTACTGTAGCAGTTGCTTTGAGTGCTATTACTGAACCTTGTTTACAAATCTGTGGCTCTCCCATACACACATATCTCCCACTTAACAAACACAGATTAGGGGTTCAATCATCTCACCCTCTTGCCCCGAACCAGCGTTTCCTATCAGGTGTTGACAGGTTTGAGATACACTGCTGTGATGTAAGTAATGTACACTGCCTTATCAACAACCTGGACGAGCAGCGCCCTCTATGTCTGGGTCAGAGGTCAATGCCCGACTAACACAGTGCCACCCAATGCTAAACACCAGGGTTAGAAACTAACAGTTTTTGTCCACTAGACCTTGTAATGATAACATATAGCAAAACCCCTTAAAATAGGCCAATTTCGGCTAGTCCTTAGGATACCTTAACTATTGGGCAGTTTGGTAAGGACTACAGGACTAGTGCCAATTTCTACACTGAACACTAAAACTAAAGGTCCAGATAAGCTGCATCACCAAAATCGATTTATTATTAGTTGCTAGTGTACAAATACACATGAAATTTTAACAAACCCTTTCGTATAAAATGGTGCGGAATTATCCAAAGAAGACTTTTCAGCTTGCATAAACAATAACTTTAACAGGCCTATCATACAAAACCAGCATAGAGTTGAAATTAAATTAAATTAAATTAAGAGTATGCATACCTCATTTTTCAATTAACAACTGCACAAATGCGCTTAGACTGTGATTGATCCAGTCAAAGGCTCTCTTGAACAGACAGCTTTTGAGATTCTTTTTAAAGCTTGTCAGATATTCTGTTTCTCACCAAAAAGTAATAGACAAATGACGTCTTGACCAGCTGAAGTAATGCACGCACGCACGCACACACGCACAGCACTTTATAAGTGCAATAATCTTGAACATGAACCCCATTTCACCTCACCTCACACAAATGGAAATAAAAAAAATCCTATTTTATGTTTAAAATGTTTATATGATTAGCGTGATTAGTCAAGGTGATTGTATTTCCCTAAAAACAGGACTAAAAAGAGAACAAGGCCTGTTAAAATACCAGTGAAATTTAAGAAGTTATGAACTTAAAAAAAAGAAAAAGTTTTCAACAAAACACTTTTTTCCCAGTCTGCTTGCTAAGGGCAATTAGTTTTTTGACTCCTAGATAAATCCGTGGACAATGGTGTTCGAGATTTCCTCTATGACAACCCAGCTTTCACAAAACAATTATACACCAAACAATACCGCTTTCCTCACCACACCTCCAGCTGTTATCACCACACAAAATGTGCATTAAATATAATCATATCTCCGTAATCGTTAGATCTAGGTCACGGCGAGGAGCATATTGCGACCACACCCTTGTCATTAGCTGAGAGGCTTGATCAATAACAGGGATCTACTTCCTCCTAACTTGGAGAGGCGACCAGGGCCGACATTGTAAATGTGGACTGCAGAAGTCAATTTGAATCTTGGAACCCCTAAATTTTATACTTTTTTATATATATTTATTTTTTATTATTGTTCTCAGAGTTGGAAATTAATACAGTATTCAGTCTTGAAGGCATAGTTCAGGTTACAATGATACAACAATACAATCCTTAAACTTTAAAGGTTATTGAAACTTGTACTTTGTACTTTTTCAAAATTAATAAGTTGCAACACAATCAGAAACATAGCATGTATCAAAAAGACCTAAGTTTGAATGTTTAGAAGAAAAGTGAAATTTGAAACTATTTATGACAAGAAATTTGAACACTTCTAGGGCAAAATCTTTTTTTTATTTTATAGTTTACAGATTCACACATTATCTAAAAAAAATTTAAAAATTGTTTGTTTTTTAAATAGTTTTTTATAAAACATTGCATGAAGTTGACTTGAACAGTAGGTATATCTATGGGAAAATAAATAAATATATATAAATATCTTTTTTGAATTAAACTATTTTGTAAAGTGGGAAGGGGGTACATGATCCAGGAATCATTTCTCTTCATGTCTTGTTTTTTTAAGAATTAAACATTATTTTAACTGGAAAGAAAAAGGTGTTAAAAAATCCCATTGACCGTCACACGGGACAAGTTAGTTTTCAGTTTGGGCAAGAAAGTTTGCTGTCACAACATGTCAGTGGGTAAGCGGGTCATTTCAACTTTGAGGTCAACAAATCTGTACTGAAGTATGCACTTCGGCCCCTTTATTACACTACCTCGTTATAAAGAGTGTTCAGTGTTGATTGATTGTTTGTTTGTTTTTTAACGCCGCACTCAGCTGTATTCCAGCTAATGACGGCGGTCTGTAAATAATTGGGCCTGGACCAGACAATCCAGTGATTGACATCATGAACATCGATCCACGAAATTTTGATCAATGACATGCATCAACCAAGTCAGCTTCTTACAACAAGGATGGGTTGCTGAAGACCTGTTCTTAACCGGATCTTCTCGGGCCAACCCCGTTATCCGGCTTGATGCTTTTCATTAATTTTATTCAAAATTTCATTCAATATTGTTTACATTATTTTCAGCGAAATCGTGAGCGGAACTGATTGGCAATGTTTTCCGGGCAACCAGAAATTCAGTCCGGTCCATGTGGTTTTAGATTCCTCACTTGTCCTTCGGCAACTGGATTTGTTTGTTGTTTAACGCCGCACTCAGCAATATTCCAGCTATATGACAGCGGTATGTAGTTATATAATCGAGTCTGGACCAGACAATCCAGTGATTGACATCATGCACATCGATCCACGCAATTGGGATGGATGACATGCATCAAACCAAGTCAGGGAGCCTGACCACCCGATCCCATTAGTCGCCTTTTACGGCAAGTATGGGTTGCTGAAGACCTCATCTACCCCGGAATCTTCACGGGTCTTCGGCAACTGGAACTTTTCTTTTTTTAAAATTGAACCTCTAAAGAAAGCAATTTCTTCTGCAATAATTGGCTATCCCTATATTATTTTCCATGAGTAATATGAAGTCCCAGATGTACAAGAATAACTGTACATTATGTCTACATCTGTTGTAGTCTATTGCTCCATGTGACAGATGTGCGTTAAATTTGGATCAACAGATTTCACTGCCAGTCTAGTTGTAACTTTGTCAGCTGGTTGGTTGTTTAACGCCGCACTCAGCAATATTCCAGCTATATGATGGCGGTCTGGAAATAATCGAGTCTGGACCAGACAATCCAGTGATTGACATCATGAGCATCGATCCACGCAATTTGGATCGATGACATGCATCAACCAAGTCAGAGAGCCTGACCACCCGATCCCGTTAGTCGCCTCTTACAACAAGCATAGTCGCTTTAAGCATTGAGAAATGATTCAGAGCTACAGCCCTCAAATGCTACTAGTCAAAGAGGATGACCATCAATTGTTTTTCACTTGTCCTCAGCACAATTTAGTAGTCACTGGCCAGCGGACCAGCATGAATTTCAAAGGCTGATGAGGGAGGGACAGGATTTCATTCAGTGATGGAGTGAGTGAGTGAGTGAGTGAGTATGGTATTACTGCAGCAATATCACGGCAGGGGACACCAGAAATGGCCTCCACACATTGTACCCATATTGGAAACTGAGCCCATGTCTTTGGCGGACAAGCAGACACTTTAACCACTAGGCTACCCTGCGTCCCTCATTCAGTGATGGAAAGATGCTGGATACCTAGGTCCTCCTAAATCTCGTAGAATGGGGAGGGGAGGGGAGGGGATTAGAGGAAGAGGGAGAGTCTTGAATGTTGTTGAACACTAAGTCAGCAATATTACAGCTATATCATGGTGATTTCGTAAATAATCTATCTGGATGGAGACAAACTAGTGACTGATGGCATGAGCATCGTCCTCCACAATCAGGGCAAGGTGACACGCAATCAACCAAGTCACAGAGCTTCACTGCCTCCTGAAGATCTAACCCCGATCTTCACAGGGGGAGATAAATATGGGTTGCTGAAGATCAATTCTAACCCCGATCTTCACAGGGGGAGATAAATATGGCTTGCTGAAGACCAATTCTAACCCTGATCTTCACAGGGGGAGATAAATATGGCTTGTTGAAGACCAATTCTAACCCCGATCTTAACAGGGGGAGATAAATATGGGTTGTTGAAGACCAATTCTAACCCTGATCTTCACAGGGGGAGATAAATATGGCTTGCTGAAGACCAATTCTAACCCTGATCTTCACAGGGGGAGATAAACATGGGTTGTTGAGGACCAATTCTAACCCCGATCTTAACAGGGGGAGATAAATATGGGTTGTTAAGGACCAATTCGATCACTGATCTTTTAGTGTTAAGATATATATATTCATTACTTTCAAATGACCAATTTTTTCGGAGTTTTCCGATTCCACTGACTAAGTACAGGTGCCACTAATACTCAATCTCATTAAAATCAGATCTTAGTTCTCGCTACCGCTAAACAAGGATCTGAGGACATCCCATTACGGGTCACGTCAGAACGACCTTTCACAAATTTTGACCGACCAATGAAATGACTGACCAGAAATCGACTTTAGCCAATCCGAAGGCAGCTTTCTTAAGCTTTACGACACTAGTTTCAAACTGGCGACTACACCTCGAAACATATTTTGACGTATTCTCGATTAAAACAATAAAAAGTGATAAGAAGAACACTCTGGAATGGTTTATGGATGGCCTAGATTGTATGGATATAATCATAAAACCTGTAACTGTCGTTCGGAATACCCCATGTTAAATATTTCGTGGTTGCATGATTAGAAAAGTCATTCCGACTGTCACTTCCATGATCTGGTAAGCGACGCTCTGATTGGTCGGATGAAAGGTCGTTCTGACGTGACCCCTAATGGGATGTCCTCAGATCTTTGTTTAGCGGTAGCGAGTACAAAGATATGATTTTAATGAGATTGCACTAATACTTTACCTAAAATCGACTTCTGGCTTTCCTTGGCATCAGCTGTGAGGTGGGCAGGTTTCCCGATAAACCCGTCTTCGGTTGTGAAAGTCACAAGGGCATGACTGGCCGTCATTACAGGATCACAGAAGGCAACAATTCGACCAAGGTGTCCAGAATTGGGATGAGATTTAAAACACTTGATACTAGCAATCAAACAACTTGTACTAGAAGTCACACTTTTCACACACAGCTTAAACTGTTCTTGGTCACTCGAGTCGGAGGCATTCTCACCTGCGGTACGACAAACATCCGTCATTATTGACAAAGCTTGGGATATATTTGAGCATATATCGACTAGAAACTGCGAATGAAGGTCGTGAAGTCTTGATCGTTTGAGTCGAGTGCAGCTTATTTTTATGTCTAGATTTGCTCGACAGATTTTATACCTGTCGATAATTCCTGCTTGAGATGGGGAACAATCGGGGAAATCGATTGCAATGAGGTAGGCAATGTGACCGCAACATTCAACAAGTCTAATAACAAAATCAGACATATCTTGGATACAGTTGCTGATGTCGTGCCAGTGAACTGCGGCCACGCTGCTGACTTGAGAAGCAACGTCCTTCATCAAATTGCTCAACCGACGTAAAATATCCAGGATTTCATCCCGACAACGCGAGTAGGATTTCGTGAAAGGTGAAAGATCTTCACTGGACACCGGTCGCGCGTCACATGATATCAACAACAGTTCTGCAATGGATTGCATCTTTGAGTGACACCTGTCACATGTCATTGCGACCCCCCTTGCGCTGTCCGTGGGCATTACCATTTGATGCATGGGATTCTGAGGAATCAGCTGATCTCCCTTAAACACTCTCCCTCCACCAATATCAACCAGCAAGTTACTGCATAGTGTCCACATATCCATGTGCATTATCCATCATGTGAAAAATAACATTTTCAATCCTTACGTGACTGGAACGTATTTCATGAAATCCATACGATGTGCAAGCTGATGCTTCTCTATCATTGCTTCTTCTGTGCTTGTCCCTTTCCCGCCTGAAGCAAATTTAAAACAATAATTGCAATGAAACATAGTTTATGCTGAAGAGTCATCCCAAGCTGTCCTCCTGGTAAACGTCACGCATGACTGCCGTTCATCGTCAACACATCACTCAGCTGTCAAATCTTCCTCCGTTACTGTTCTCTGAAAGCACGTGTTGTATGCAAATGAGCAAAACAATGACGCAGCGATCGGCGGACCATTGCTGGGCCCCTCTTGTATCAGCTATTTCATCAATTTGCAAATAATTCGCGCTCCTAATAACAGCTTCACCCAGCTATTTAAAACATGCCCTGGCCCTGGCAAACAAAATCTGCTACTTCCCCAGTCTTGTATTTGGACTTTGGGTGTGGTCCACACATGGAAGAGTGCACTTCCGAAAGCTACATTTTCCTAACAACATATCACATTTCTCTTTGTGGTTAATGGGTGTCTGTCGGACTTTTGACATGCATACAGAGTTGTGATATACGATTTTGTTGATAGGTCATGGCCATATAATGCTTTTGACTGATGGTGTAAACTCTTAGGTGAGTAAGGCAAAATTAGGACTTCTTCGCAGGTAGATATTTAGAGGTGATTTGAGTTGAAATGGGGTTTGACGTTGCGTCTGTCGCAGTGCGTGGAGTCGCCACACCGATGAAACCTACCTTGTCAGCTTGCTAACGGGATTGGCCTCTTTGGTCACGTGGACAATTCGTCCGACCTCGGATCAGAAGATCCATGGTTCGAATCCCATCACGGGACTAGAAAATGTTATGGCCGCTACACGTTTAAATAAAATTATTGCACATATCTAGCGACGTACATGCACGTGTGTCTGCTTGTGCTAGTCTGGATGAATGCCAATTTCATAGTGCTAGCCCACTGAGATACCATGCCGCAGTTTAACATGAATACCCAACTCAGACACAGTATCCAAGGCCGTTGTTAACTTTTTTTGACAGGGGGTGCAAATATTTGTTCAAGTATCACTTGTCCCCAACTTGTATTTTCATGATTCAAATAAAACTGTTTTCCCAAAAAAATCCAGGTTTGTGTGTGTGTGTGGTGGGGGGGGGGGGGGGCAACTGCCCCAGCGTTGGGTTTAACGCCGCGTTTCCACTTGTATAGTCAGTTAACTCCCTTGTCTCGGGAAGATCAATCTCATCAAAATCAGATCTTAGTTCTCGCTACTGCTAAAAGTTTGTTTAGCGGGAGTGAGAACTAAGATCTGATTTTAATGAGATTGCGGGAAGATGTTCTTGTGCGCCACCAACCCTGACATAGGATGATGACGCAGAGCTCCAAACTCCGTACCACAGATGTCTCGTTCCGTACAGTCCCGTGAAGATCCGGGGTAGAAAAGGTCTTCAGCAACCCATGCTTGCCGTAAAAGGCGACTATGCTTGTCTTAAGAGGCGATTAACGGGATCGGGTGGTCAAGCTCGCTGACTTGGTTGATGCATGTCATCGATCCCAATCGATGTTCATGATGTCAATCACTGGATTGTCTGGTTCAGACCCGATTATTTGCAGACCGCCGTCATATAGCTGGAATATTGCTGTGTGCGGCGTTAAACAAAAAATAACAAACAAGGACAAAGTCACACAAAGTGCAGACCAACTAGAGGCTGATGGGATGAGAATCGACCTGTTACTTAGCAAGGTCACAGTGGGCCCTTCAAGGACACGCCACTACTTGTGAATACAGAGTTATCTCACTGAAACCGAGACACTATCCACTGCACCATAGAGACGGTCAGATAGCTTGGTTGGTTGGTTTGTTGTTTAACCCCGCACTCAGCAATATTCCAGCTATATGACGGCGGTCTGTAAATAATCGAGCCTGGACCAGACAATCCAGTGATTGACATCATGAGCATCGATCCACGCAATTGGGATCGATGACATGAATGAACCAAGTCAGCGAGCCTGACCACCCGATCCCGTTAGTCGCCTTTTACGACAAGCATAGTCACCTTTTACGGCATGCATGGGTATGCGAGTTTGTAGAAATAATATTTTAAAAGACATTGGTTGGTATATTCTACGGAAGCCTTTTAGGGGCATTTGTTTTTTTAATTTTTTCGATAATATCTTGAAATTTCAAGATACTAAGTTGAAATTTCAAGAAAGAGAAGTTGAAATTTCAAGATAGAGAAGTTGAAATTTCAAGATACTATCTTGAAATTTCAAGATAGTATCGAATTTAAAAAAACCCAAACAAATGGCCCTAAAAGGCTTCCGTAATATTCCGTAAAAGGATTTTATATATTTTTGGGATATATTAAATATTGCAAATTATAAGTAATAATGCACAGTGGTAGAAGCTAACATTATTAGTCACTAGTCCTCATAAAGATACCATATAGCAAAACCTTTAAAATTGGGAAATTTCTACATGATACCTTTACTGTTGGGCAGTTTGGCCAGGATTACAGGACTAGTGCCAATTTCTAAAGGTGATGCATTGAACGTTGCAGGTAAAGTGGTACTGACAAGATCCAGTCAGTTTTAAAAAAAATCATAATAATAATATTTGTTTGTAACTGGCATTACTTTATATTTGTTTATACAACGATCCCCTTCGTTGGATTGTGTAATGTGTACGAATAATTATGTCGTTTTCAATTTGTACAGTTATATGTTGTTAATTTTTCCTTGGTTGATAAAAGTTTTGGAAAATAAACATTAATTGAAGAATACCGACACCAGGACACAAACCAACATTTCTTAAATTTGCAATCGATTAACTCATTTAAAATTATAATATATAACAGCCAGCATTCGGAGAAAAAAAGGGCGGTAGGCATTGTAGGGCTATATATAATTTAGATATTTCCGTCATTTATTCAGAAATATAGAGCTACAGTTACAAATATAAAACCAACAAAAAAAAGATTAACATTTATTTCATTTCAGGTATGTGACATAAAATGTGTTGTAGTGAATATAGTTTCACGCACTCAAAGTTGGTCAATCTAATCAAAGCCCGCGCTGGGTCACATTCGGTTACAAAAAAATGAGAGGGGGAATATAGTACCTGATAACAAACGCATATTATACGGAGTAAACGCCTCCTCGTATTTGAAATAGAAATTGCAAATGCAGTACTGGTCCCATCTTTCCTATGCGTTCCCCGAATAACACATATAGACATTATTACAACGCGGAGTAATCCAGTATTTACGTCAGCAGCTTCCGGTTATACGCATCAAGCAAGCTACTTCCGGCAAAATAGCCGTGGAAGAAAATTACGAAGATTTAAGTGTTGCCCTTCGTTTCTGTTTAGGTAAAATATACATTTAAAGGTAGGATATTCCTTCGTCTTATATGTCTGGACTTTTGTCTGTGTGACTGTAGCGGAAGTGAAGTAGATGAACGTCCTTTTCCGTTCTGTCCACATGCAACTTCCGCTCATCTGATTAAAAATGGCGGATGTTGTTTCTCGTGTAAAATTGCAAGTTCAATTCACATTCTTGATGATAAGATCGCTCTTGGAATGTATACTTTCTTGCATACAAATATCACTTGAAACAATAAACGCTTGTGCAAGGTTCGTATTGTCACAGTACACGCCATCTTAGATATTCGGACACTCGCTAATTTGTTTAGTTTCAATTAAAAAAGACGTGATTCACCGATTGCGCGCTAACAGGATGAGATCTTTTTCTTTCCGGGATGCGTTCAGAGTTGTATCAAGGCTTTTTTGTGGGTTTATCATGTCGTTTTCAATCTATTCATGCTGACATGACGCTTGTTAGCTGCAGTCGGTGACAAAGGTTATAAAGATATTTTCGTTTGTTTGTTCGATAGGCTAGCCAACAAGAGGTAGCCGAAAGTTAAATGCAACTTCCATTTAGGTTATTCATGGGTACATCAAGGTATGAAAGCAGAGGTGTTGTATAACTACTCACTAAAATACAGTTGTGTTTTATTTGTTAGAGTCCCCTAATGTTGGGTAATGACGTCACGGTAGATGGAGCGGTCGCTATGGTCTGCCAAGCACTAACAGTAATTTAATACACAAATTATTGCTATAGTCATGTCATGTGTTAAGGCTGAGCAAGTGAATTACATTTTGGCATTGCATCAGCAACATCTCGGCCATGTAGTGATCAGAAAATTTGACATTGATTAAGTCATGTGTAAGAGTTATGAGTTTGTTTGTTGTTTAAGCAGCTATATGATGGCGGTCTGTTAATAATTGAGTCAAGACCAGACAATCCAGTGATTGACATTAAGAGCATCAATCCACGCAATTGGGATATGATGACATGCATCAACCAAGTCAGCGAGCTTGACCACCCGATCCCGTTAATCGCCTCTTAAGACAAGCCTAATCACGTTTTACGGCAAGGATGGGTTGCTGAAGACCTATTCTAACCCAGATCTTCATGTGTCTTTACATTGATTAATTCGTATGTAAGAATTATGAGTTTGACATGAAATAGTGTAGTATGACTGGACCCTCATGTCGTTCCAGAAGACCCTTAAAATTAAGCAAAGGTAAAAAGTTGCAGTGTTTATAAGATTAAGCCTGAAAATCAATGAATGTCATAATCCTAATTGTTAAAACAGGGATATCCCTAGGATTCCAAACTAAGCGTCCTTAGGCAAATTGGGAAGAAGTCTTGATATTATTCAAAATTCAATTTTTAATGTTCTAATTTTTGTAAATTCTGAGGAATTGGTAATTATTTTTTTTCAAATTGGAAATTTTTGTTGCTGATTTGGGGCAGAATATCGGACTCTATGCAGGCCAAGATAAGTCCCAGTTAAAGTATAATTTTAGGGGCCCCGGTAGTGTGTCATGCGGACCCTGACACAAATATATCCAATACAGCCAATGCAAGTCTATAATGTTTGGCAAGTTTAGATTACTGTTGTATCAGTATCTGAAAATTAAAAAGGTCTCTGGCCTTCTTTTATTACATTTCATAAGTATAATTTAACAACTGTTTTTTCTGTAAATTATTTTCATTTCTAGGGGTCCCTATGGGAGTAGACCTCAAGGACCTTGCATAGTTTGGAACACTGCCCTGGGTAGATCTTAGTGGTAATACCGTATTCGGTGTAATAAGCGCCCAGGGCCCTCTCAATATTAGAAATAGGGCGCTCTTATTAGAATATTATTTTGGTGGAAAAAAACAGTTGAAAGACAAATTTCTTGGTTTATGGTGACAGCCTGAAATGTTTATGTACGACAGATATATTTTTCCAGAATTTAATTGCCAATGATTAAGGGTGCATATAACACACGAGTGTGCATATACGCGAATAAATAAGTCTTGTGTACATTGATCAATCGGAAGGGGTGCTAATTAGGATTGCTTACTAGCCAATATATCAGGAAATATCGCCGTGGGCGCTTATTAGAGTGGGGTGCTTATGTCGAATACGGTATGTGGGTGAGTGAATGTTTAATACCCTGTGGGTATTCATGGCTAGAATAGATCTATGCCAGTTACAAGAGACGATCCACCTCCCAAGGCAAGGGAGTTAACTGACTCAAAATGTCCAGTTTCCACCCTTGCCAAACTAGCCTGGAATTTATGAGTTCGACCAGTGACTATTACGAGTTATATCTCTTCTATGTCCCTCCTAATGACCAATCAGATTCCACCTCTCATATCACTTACATTTGCTTCAAAGAAAATGGTGGTACCCAGTCAAGACCAATCTGATCGATGATCTATATTGTAATAAAATGGGTTGTGTGAGCACCTTGATTAATAACGTGAAAAGATTTGGAAAGTATCTGTTAATGCCCAGTTGACGGTACACGGTGCAAATCCTGCCGTCTGCCGAAATCTGCATGTTGAAATTGAAATTCATGTCGATTTCTTTACGCGATTTTGATTGAACTATGCATAGACTCGTTAGTCCAGCCAAAATAAAACTCCATAATTCCAGCAGGGTTCGACAAGAGTGGAAACTGGACTTTTACAGTCAGTTAACTCCCTTGCCTCAGGAAGATGGTGGCGCCCAAATAGATTGGGTGGTCTGACCTGTGAAGATTCTGGGGTAGAATCGGTCTTCAGCAACCCATGCTTGTCGTAAAAGGCGACCAACGGGATCGGGTGGTCAGGCTCGCTGACTTGGTTGATGCATGTCATCGGTACTAATTGCATGGATTGATGATCATGATATCAATCACTGGATTGTCTGGTACAGACTTGATTATTTACAGACTGCCGTCATATAGCTGGAATATTGCTGAGTGCGGCGTTAAACAAAAACAAACTAACTAAAGATTGGGTGGTCTAGCTTGCTGACTTGGTTGATTGCATGTCTTGATACCCGATGGCGAGGATCATTGCTCACAATTGAATAACAAACACTCACACTGGATTGTGTGGATTATTTACAGGCCACTTAGTTGGAATATTTCTGAGCGTTAAACATCAGCAATATTCAAGGTATTTCACAGACGTTTGCTAATAATCAAGATGAAGTCAGCCAAGTTTGACGTTATTACCACCAGATCCTCCTATTCATTAGTTCTAAGACAAGTAGGGGTGTTACAGTAAATCAAAATATTGATATATTGCTATTGGTAAGCGCTTAAAGTCAATAAATCGATTGTTAAATCAGTTTCCGATCAATAGTATTGATTTCAGTTAGAAATATTGATAGTTTCGATTGTATTTACCATATCAATATAATACATGCAATGCTGTTCAAATTTGTTTTTCTTTTGATTATGAGTGGTAGTAATTTACACATGGTAATGTGGGAGTTTCTTTTGCTTTCATTATTAGGGTAAAGAAACAACAAATCAGTCATATCTCAAAGTTTACTTTTTATTTGTTGTTATGGTTATCACATTCAAAGAAAACTTTTCTTCCACGGTTTAATTCAACTCTAAAATCCATCTAAAATGATACACTGAAAACTATCGATATTTATCGCAATAGTTGCTTGCAATATAAATAGTTATCGCAATAGTTTCTTTCAATATAAATAGTTATCGTAATAGTTATTTCCAGACCAATAGTCACCCCTAAAGACAAGCACTGGGTGCGGAGACCAGAATCAGGACAGGGGAAATATAATTACAGCATGTTGAAAGATTTTATTCTAGATACAGAGAAGTGTAAGGTCACAGACTGAGTATACAACAGTTAGTTAACACTTTGAGACCCTGCTATTTTCTCAACACACACCCAAATTATGATAAAAAATGATTCTAAACAGTAACAAATAAGCAATCTAAATTCACCCAAAGGATACCTTGTCAGGCCACAAAGTTGCGACTAAAACGGTCGCCAATGTGACCTAATTTTCAACTTGTCTACTGTCTAAAATTCAGAGGTAGCCAAATGACTACCTTGTAAATATCTTGTGGCGACTTAATTCTATTTGCTACACATATGTAGACACATAAATATACATGTCTGCTACTAATTGTACTCGCAAATAATTCCTTCTAAAGTCAACAATGAACCGAAATGCATAAATATGAATGTAATTAGTATTTTAATTTAGTTGATAGTTTATTGGATAAGCAAGGATATACCTATATAATCTAGAAACATAAACTGCATCATTGTTCGAGTCACAAATAACAAAACTCAAGTACAGTTTCCACTAATATACAATTCCAAGACTAATGCTATGACTTGTACATATGATAGTTATTTGATAAAAGATGATTTCAAATGCTTTTGGCTACCTACAATATTGGCTTGACTTCTTGATTTTACCACTGGCTACCTTGAAAAAAATACTTGAGGCCTGCTTCTCATTATTTAATATTTGGCAGATTGTATGGGAAGTGTCCATTGATTGGTTGGTTGTTTTGTTGTTTAACGCCTCACTCAGCAATATTCCAGCTATATGATGGCGGTCTGTAAATAATCGAGTCTGGACCAGACAATCCAGTGATCGACATCATGAGCATCGATCCACGCAATTTGGATCGATGACATGCATCAACCAGGTCAGCGGGCCCAACCACCTGATCCCGTTAGTCGCCTTTTACGGCAAGCATGGCTTGCTGAAGGCCTATTCTCTACCCTGGAATCTTCAGGAGTGAAGTGTCCATTGAAAACAACTTACCTTGGAACCTTTCAGATAATAGTAAAGTGCATATATAAAATACGCGAGTACTTTACATGCTGAAGAGTAAGAGGCTAACTAAAAACCGGGTCGGTTGGTCAGGCCCGCTGACTTGGTTGGTGCATGTCATCACATCCCAATTGCGTGGATCGATGCTCATGCAGACCTCAAAGTTGAATTTTTTACCAAGTAGCCACATGGCTACTAGTATTTTTTTCCTGGTAGCCACTGGTAAAATCAAGAAGTCAAGCCAATATTGTAGGTAGCCAAAAACATTTGAAATTATCTTTGATCAAATAACTATTAAAATATGTACAAGTCATAGCACTAGTCTTTGTATTGTATATTAGTGGAAACTGTTCTGTACTTGGTTTTTGTTATTTGTGACTTGAACAATGATGCAGTTTATGTTACAAGATTATATAGGTATATCCTTGCATATCCATTGAGCATTGTCAACTAAAATAATATACTAATTAAATCAATATTTATGTATTTCGGTTCATTGTCGACTTTAGGAGGCATTATTTGCGAGTACAATTATTAACTTATGTGTTTTCCAAGATCAGCTGTTATTTATGTTTGTGTCAACGTATGCATGATATGTGTAGCAATAGAATTTAGTCGCCACAAGATATTTTTCAAGGTAGTCATTTGGCTACCTCTGAATTTTAGACAGTGGACAAATCTAAATTTAGGTCGCATTGGCGACAGTTTGAGTCGCAACTTTGAGGCCTGTCATGATGTCAATCACTGGATTGTCTGGTCCTGACTCGATTATTTACAGACCGCCATCTAGGACCGGGACGGGTAACTCAGGTACTCGGGTCGGGTGGTTCCTGAGTAGGCCCCGGGTACCCACAGTACTACCCGGACCTGTGGTTATCACCTGATGTATTGTTTAATAGCAAAAATTATCTAGAACTTCAACGGTTGCACTATAAGTGACTAATTTTCACATTTATTTCTGACTTTATATGTTTGAACAGAGATAAAACTTCAGTCAACTTCAGTGTATGCATGACCAGATCATTTTATTTGAGTATCTAAATACATTTTGCCAGGGCTACGGTCAAACTATTCCCAATTGGACATTGTACCTATCCCTTGAGACTAACTGCGCGTACCCAGGTAGGGTCGGGTAATAGTGGGATGGGTACCCGGGTAGTAAATTTAGACTCGTTCCAGCCCTACCACCATCATATAGCTGGAATATTGCTGAGTTTGGTGTTAAACAACAAACAAACAAACAAACAAACAGTGGTAGAAACTTACAGGTTCAGTTCACTAGTGAGGTGAGGTGAAATGGGGTTTAACGTCACGTCAAAGATTATTGCACTTATATAGCGACGTGCATGCACGTGTGTGTGTGTGTGGCTGCTTGTACTAGTCCGGACTGATGCCGATTTATAGTGCTAGCTCACTGAGATACCATGCCTCAGTTGAACGTGAATACCCCACTCAGACACAGTATACTGACTCCGAGCCGACCAGTCCTTGTTTTAGCCCCTTTATGCCGAGTGCCAGACAGGGTAACAACAAGTACCATCTTTTAACATCTTTTGGTATGACACGGTCGGGGATCGAAGCACTCTCCTGGCAGACGCTCTACCACTAGTCCACGGAGGCGGTCAGTTCACCAGTCCTTATGATGATAACATATAGCAAAACCCTTCATAATGACAAATTTCTACTAGTCCTTAGGATATCTTTTCTATTGGGCAGTTAGGACTATAGGACTAGTGCCAGTTTCTAATGCTGACAAACATGTTCAAATACTATATTATTACGCCAGTCAATAGATCAGTGTGCCCTTTAGTGTCATTCTCAGCTCCCTGAGGAGTACTCAATCCAAGCTGCCTGTGAGGCACTAGGTTGTCTCTTTCCATCTGATCCTACCGGGTACCCATCCACAGATATTTTGAACAGGTGGCAGCCAATAAACCTTATGATGCCACAGATGCTGACTATTACGATTTTGGCAGAATGATCATGGTACTTTGAACCAAATTCCGCCAATAAGATCAAATGAAATGTTTGTCCCAAACTTAGTCCTCTCTGCAGTTATTGTCTCATGTACAACTAATTAATAATCACTTGTTTTGTGGGCAAGGGTGGCCCACTCGTCTAAGGGGCCGTGATCCGCAGAGTTGCGTCACTTGGGCACGCAAGAAACCTATGATTGTGGGTTCGAATCCCGGTTCGCCCCGATTATGTTTCTAGGTTTGTCAGCACCATACCTGTGCTCGTGGGTTTCACCGAAGTGGTAAACGTCTGAGACCTGCATCACTTCGGGCTTTCCTCCCACATTAAGCGGACAGGCTGCGATATAACTGCAATACTGTTAAAAGCGGCGTTAAACCCAACTCACTCACTCACTCACTCACTCACTCACTCACTCACTCACTCACTCACTCACTCACTCACTCACTCACTCACTCACTCACTAATCACTTGTTTTACCTTGTGATGAGTAGGTTTATTTTGAAGAGGTTCGTGATACAAATAATATTTGTAGAGATGATATATTTTCATCCAAACCAATGTATAAAATGACTCCCAATTATTCATGTTAGATGCCAGTATTCCCAGATATTGCTTACTGAGTCAATTCGGGGTAAGCATCACTTTTGTCAATATGTTAATGTTTAGAGAAAATTACTTTCTAATATGCCAGTTTTAATTACAGTCAGCACCGTGGCGACCAAAATTGTAAGCGAAGTCCCTGTCCAGATTATTAGTTCGAGGTCAGGTGGCATGTCGCTCGTTGACCTGGGAAAGAAGCTACTGGAGGCAGCCAAACGTGGAGACACCGATGCTGTCCGGGCGTTGATGTCCAATGGTGCACCCTTCACAACAGACTGGGTGAGTCACACATCCGTATCCACCCTCTACTGCACCCTTTACAACAGGGGGCAGTCGGGTAGCCAAGTGGTTAAAACGTTCGCTCGTCACGCCAAAGACCCGGGTTCGATTCCCGACATGGGTACAATGTGTGAAGCCCACCCTGTAGTGCACCCTTTACCACAGACTGGGTGAGTCACACATCCATATCCACCCTCTACTGCACCCTTCACAACAGACTGGGTGAGTCACAGATCCATATCCACCCTCTACTGCACCCTTCACAACAGACTGGGTGAGTCACAGATCCTTATCCACCCTGTAGTGCACCCTTCACAACAGACTGGGTGATTCACAGATCCATATCCACCCTCTACTGCACCCTTCACAATAGACTGGGTGAGTCACAGATCCATATCCACCCTGTAGTGCACCCTTCACAACAGACTGGGTGAGTCACACATCCATACCCACCCTGTAGTGCACCCTTCACAACAGACTGGGTGAGTCACAGATCCATATCAACCCTCTACTGCACCCTTCACAACAGACTGGGTGAGTCACACATCCGTATCCACCCTCTACTGCACCCTTTACAACAGGGGGCAGTCGGGTAGCCAAGTGGTTAAAACGTTCGCTCGTCACGCCAAAGACCCGGGTTCGATTCCCGACATGGGTACAATGTGTGAAGCCCACCCTGTAGTGCACCCTTTACCACAGACTGGGTGAGTCACACATCCATATCCACCCTCTACTGCACCCTTCACAACAGACTGGGTGAGTCACAGATCCATATCCACCCTCTACTGCACCCTTCACAACAGACTGGGTGAGTCACAGATCCATATCCACCCTGTAGTGCACCCTTCACAACAGACTGGGTGAGTCACAGATCCATATCCACCCTCTACTGCACCCTTCACAATAGACTGGGTGAGTCACAGATCCATATCCACCCTGTAGTGCACCCTTCACAACAGACTGGGTGAGTCACACATCCATACCCACCCTCTACTGCACCCTTCACAATAGACTGGGTGAGTCACAGATCCATATCCACCCTGTAGTGCACCCTTCACAACAGACTGGGTGAGTCACACATCCATACCCACCCTGTAGTGCACCCTTCACAACAGACTTGGGTGAGTCACAGATCCATATCAACCCTCTACTGCACCCTTCACAACAGACTGGGTGAGTCACACATCCATATCCACCCTGTAGTGCACCCTTCACAACAGACTTGGGTGAGTCACAGATCCATATCAACCCTCTCGTGTTGTCACAGTTCACCTATGCATAAATAGTTTAGAGGTGAGGTGAAATTGGGTTTAACGTCGCGTCCAAGAGTATTGCACTTATATAGCGACGTGCATGTACGTGTGTGTGTGTGTGTGTGTGTGTGTGGCTGCTTGTACTAGTCCGGACTGATGCTGAGTTATAGTGCTAGCTCACTGAGATACCATGCCGCAGTTTAACATGAATACCCCACTCAGACACAGTATACTGACTCCGAGCCAACCAGTCCTTGTTTTAGCCCCTTAATGCCGAGCGCCAGACAGGGTAACAACAAGTACCATCTTTTATCATCCAAAACTGGCTCCCACAGGAGATATCGCTTGGATGAGATCAAGCGATATCTACACTGTAGATATCGCTGCAATGAAATTACATCACAATGCTTTGCAGACCATTGTGACGTCACTGGTTACCATGACGTCACAATCAAATGACATCACTAATGGCTCTGCTACTGAAGCTGTTTGCAGTACTTTTTACACTGAAGATACTGCTAATTACTGTCTACAAATTGAAAAAATTGAAAGAATGATGTTGGATGATAAATAAAATCTCACCCTCGTGTCTATTGATATCAAATATATCAACACTCGTTGATAAAAGTGGCAAAAATCCTCGGCAAGCCTCGGAATTTTTCCACTTTTATCAACTCGTGTTGATATATTTGATATCAAAAGACACTCGGGTGAGATTCTCTATTTAACGTCTAACCAGTTTAGAACATGCCTGACCATGTATCATGTTCTAGTTCTGTATCGATTTTCAAAAAGTAAAGGATTTTTCTCACTGAACTTTGAGAACTTTGAACACTGGAACATGAGAAAGTTTGGCATAGAGTGCACCTGGTCTAAAATATGAAATGAGTGGTTAATTAGAATAAATTTTGAATCTTTCCCTTTTTCCGCCTCTTCAGCTGGGAACTTCTCCACTTCACTTTGCTGCGCAGTTTGGCCACCAGCAGACGGCGGAGGTGCTGCTGCGAGCGGGCATCAGCCGAGATGCTCGCACCAAAGTGGACCGGACGCCCCTCCATGTGGCGGCGCAGGAAGGTCATGTGGAGATCGTGGAGCTGCTTCTGGACAACTCAGCAGACATTGATGCCAAGGATATGGTGAGGGGAGTGAGTTAGTTGGGTTTAACGCCGCTTTTAACAGTATTAGTTATATCGCAGCGTGTCAGCTTAATATGGGAGGAAAGCCTGAAGTGATGCAGGTCTCAGAGGTTTACCACTTCGGTGACCACGAGCACGGGTATGGTGCTGACAAACCTAGAAACATAATCGGGGCGAACCGGGATTCGAACCCACAATCCTAGGTTTCTGGCGTGCCCAAGGGATGCAACTCTGCACAGCGAATCGCGGCGCCTTAGATGACTGGCCATCCGTGCCCCCTGTGGTGAGAGGAAACTCTGGTCCATATCAAGTTCAGCACAGGCCTCAAAACCCTTGCATGATCGTGCCAGGGGCAAAGTTAGGATCTCATTTGCAGGGTTAAGTTGAGGTCTGGTGCTGAAGTGTACACTTAGAAACTGATTTCTATGTTTCTTGTATGAAGGCAGGGATGAATGTACTTTCACGCAAATAAATTAGTCAATTACAAAGAAATGAGCATTTGAACATTCTTAACTATAGTATGGAAGGTAGTTTAAGGTGCCGATGTTTACTACAATATCTGAAAAACTATTGGACCTACTCCAGTCAAAGTTGGTATGAGATTATTAAACAGTCATACATTACTGGATATTACATTTAAAGACAATCGGTGCATGAAAAAAAATCGGTCTATTTAGCTATCTCTATATTTCATCAACAACCAGACCTGTTCGTCACGGGTGGAACGAGCATTCAGCCATCTGCATAATGCTACCCCTGCGTCACAGGGCCATATGACACAGTTGAACCAATCAACTCAACTCGAAAGGTTGCACGGGAATCACGCATGCACGAAAACGGTGTTAGCGTTGGGCGTCTCAACGTGCATGATTCCAATGCAACCTTTCAAGTTGAGTTGATTGGTTCAGCTGTAGTGACATAAAAACTGGTCCTTTTGTCTGTGACATACAAGTATCTGTACCAGGTCGGTACAAGGAGATAAGATGAGTTGAACATTAGGAGTTTAGGAATTTGTATTTCCAATTTGGGAATGAATACTGACATTTGTTGACAACTTTGGGCCAAATGTCAGCCTCTGAGAGTACCGTATTTGACCCTATAAGTGCCCAGGGCGCTTAAAATAAAGACAGAAGGGGTGGGCGCTTATTGGGACCAATTCAGAGTCAAATTGGCGTAAATTCATCAGCAAGCCTATTGATATTCTTCTGTTGCTGGGGGGATAGAGATAAACTGTTACTTACGTTTTACTGGTGAACATCTCCTCATTAACCAACTACAAAAGATTCTTGACCGTATGTAAAAATCAGGTGAGTAAATCTTACTTGGGCATCCGGGAAAAGGGGCGGGGGTGGGTGCTTATTGGGACATGGGCGCTTTTTGGGTCGAATACGGTAGGTCTGGATAACCCTGGATTAGCAGAAGACACCCTGGGGTTTAGAAATCGAGAAGGGTTTTATTAAACTTGGTGAGAAGGTGAACTTTCTAATTTACGTCTGCTTATTATTCGAGTTTGAGGATATCAAAAGTATTTTCCTTATCAGCATGCTTAGAACATGTAGAATCCAAAGGGCTCACCTAAGTATATTTAAGAAGACCTGTGGCACACTTGAAAGAGATACATTTCTATCCATGCCACGCTGAAAGTGCCAAGTCGAAGGCGTTGCAAATTGCTTCTGTTCGTGTACCAGAAGTCTGTGATTGTGGGGTCCAAAATTTTCATTATGTTTTTTGGTTTGTCAGCACCATACCCAACATGCCCCAGCTTGATAAACATCTAAGACCTGCTCCATTGACACACTGTGATATAACTGAAATAATGTTCAATTTGTTTGTTGGTTGGTTTGTTTGATGCCACACTCAGCAATATTCTGGTTGTATGACAGCGGTCTGTAAACAATCAAATCGGGTCCAGACAATTCAGTGATTGACATGAGCATCGATCCACGCAAATGGGATACAATGACATGCATCAACCAAGTCAGCGAGCCTGATCACCCGATCCCGTTAGTTGACTCTTACGACAAGCTTAGTCACCTTTTTCGGCAAGAATGGTTGCTGAAGACCTATTCTACTCGGATCTTCGCAGGGAGAAATGCTTATCAAATCAGCATTGAACCAAACTGTACAATTCTGGAAGAAGGTGACCATTTAATGTCTGTTATTTCAGCTGAAGATGACGCCCCTACATTGGGCCACAGAGAAAGGACACATTCCAGTCGTCGAAATCCTCCTGAAACACTCGGCCGACACCAACTTCGAAAACAAGGTGAGATAACTCTGTATTCACAAGTAGTGGCGTGTCCTTGAAGGGCCCACTGTGACCTTGCTGAGTAACAGGTAGATTCTCATCCCATCAGCCTCTAGTTGGCCTGCACTTTGTGTGATTATGGTGTCTTTGTTTTTTTGTTTTTTGTTTCACGCCGCACTCAGCAATATTCCAGCTATTGCACGGCGGTCTGTAAATAATCAAGTTTGGACTTAACAATCCAGTGATTGACATCATGAGCATCGATCTACCCAAATGGGATACACGATGGGATCCATCAACGAAGTCAGTGAATCTGACCACTCGATCCTGTTAGTCACCTCTTATGACAAGCATGGGTCTTCACGAGGCCTTACGGTTGCAGCTAAGAAATATATAGAATACTAAACAAGCCCCCCTTGTAATACCAATTTTATGAAACGAGTGAATAGTTGTGGTATCTGACTCGCTTTCGCTCGTCAGATACCACAACTATTCACGAGTTTCAAAAAATGGGTTTAACACGGGAGCGAGTTTAGTATTTTATTTATTACTTGCCATTTATAACGTTTTTTAAATTAACCTGTTGAGTGTGAATAGGCTGACACCTACACGATCCACGGCATAATCCAATTGAGTTTAACACAATAATACTTCAAAGACGTCAAAAGTTGAAACGTATGAATTTAATACCATACAGCGGCCCGCCTTTAGAATTTAGGCGTCCATTCCACAAAATTATAGTAGCGTTAAGGTTATCGCAAATCACATACTTTAACTTAGACTTACGACTGTCGTGCTACCGTACGATCGCCTTGTGGAACGGGGCCTTGCAGCTCAAAGTTTACAATCACGTCACAATACCCAATGACGTAATTTATGGAATTTTGTTGCAAGATCCATCGGCGAAACAATGCCATGTGACGTCAGCCTAGCAACAAGGTTGCTGGGGTGATCGAGTGTGCATAAGCTCCTCTCAGTGATCTATCATCTCCACACGCAATGTCATTTAATAAGCCAAGGGATGTTGAGATCTTTCAATATTTGTTCTAGAAACGTGTTCCGAGAGTACATAAGCACGCGTTTTGGTATTACACAATGTGTAATACAGCTGTATGTTTATTAAACGGGTGATCTCTTCACGGGCAAGTAATACAGGAGGATCTGAGGACAACTCCATGATAGAGGGCAGATGCTCTATCAACTATACAAATGACTAACCATGTATTTATACACGTTTTAATTCATTGGTAATTCCATGTTAAAACAGTTCAAGTACAGATATACTAGCCACTACGATTTTGACAGAACCATATTTTGAATCAAATTTTGCCAAATTGATTTAGTGAATTACCGGTTTCTCCAGAAAACATTGCCTGTTATTTTTACATGAAATTGGCCTTGCTAGTCATTGTCTCATTCACAATCAGTTAATAAGAAATTAGTAATCACTAATTTTAGAACGATGTTAAAATATTAATTGTAATGCAAAAGATTATATTTTTCATGAAAACCATAAAATTGTTATGATTTCTAATGGTTTTTTGAAAATTACTAGTTTTAGCAACAATCACCAAAGATATTGCTAATTGCCACAACTTTACGTTGGCATCTCTGCAAAGAAAGGTTTTGTAGCATGCTTCAAGAGATGCGATGTGTATCAATACATGAGGTAGGCGTGACATGACCGCTCTCAGGGAGCGATTTAACAACATAGAACATGACCCGTGTGCAACCTATTATTGAAATGTGCAGCCTGATATTAAGTGCAACCTATTGAAGAAATGTGCAGCCTAATATTAAGTGCAACCTATTGTTGAAATGTGCAACCTAATAATCAGTGCAGCCTACTATTGAAATGTGCAACCCAATATTTAGAGCAACCTAATATTTAGTGCAACCTATTGTTGAAATGTGCAACCTTATATTTAGTGCAACCTATTGGTGAAATGTGCAACCTAATATTTAGTGCAACCTATTGGTGAAATATGCAACCTAATGTTTAGTGCAACCTATTATTGAAATATGCAACCTAATATTTAGTGCAACCTACTATTGAAATGTGCAACCTAATTTTTAGTGCAACCTATTGTTGAAATGTGCAACCTAATATTTAGTGCAACCTACTATTGAAATGTTCAACCTAATATTGAAATGTTCAACCTAATATTGAAATGTGCAACCTAATATTTATGGCTGAAATCCCGCCTGACTCTCGTCTCTCTTGATTACAGTTTGACCGGACACCTCTGGACATTGCCATCGCCAACGGGAGGACAGATATAGCACAACTCTTGCAACTAGCACAGGTAGGAAGAAGGAATGGCTCAGCCTGGAGAATATTGTCTGGGGAATAAACTGGCTCCTAAATACTTTCCAATTAACATTTTGAACTTGGTGGAGCCAGTTATGTCTCATTCAAAATATCCTGAGGTTTGACCGCCTCTGTGGTCTAGTGGTAGAGTGGCCACCTGGAGAGCGGAAGGTCCGGGGTTCGATCCCCGGCAACGGCATACTAAAAGACGTTAAAAGATGGTACTTGTTGTTACCCTGTCTGGTGCTCGGCTGGTTGGCTCGGAGTCAGTATACTGTGTCTGAGTGGGGTATTGATGTTAAACTGCGGCATGGTATCTCTGAGCTAGCACTATAAATCGGCATCAGTCCGGACTAGTACAAGCAGCCACACACACGTGTATGCACGTCGCTATATAAATGCAATAATCTTGGATGCGACGTTAAACCCACTTTCACCTCACCCACCTTGTTGGGTTTTGAGATTATTTCAAACACTGTGTTAAAAGTGACTTAACGGAACTTGTCCAACTGGTTGTGTGTCATCATACCCCAAACAGTGTGGATGGTAGATCATAATGTCAATCACTTGATTGTAAACACGGTCTTCCCCCCATGAAGATCCAGATTAGAATAGATCTTCAGCAACCCATGCTCATCTTCCCGAGACAAGAGCGTTATCTGACTATAAATATCCAGTTTCCACCCTTGCCGAACTAGGCTGGAATTGCTTGACTCGATCGTAGCGCTACCAGTGGCTATTACCAGTTGCATCCCTTCTAAGCCTCTCCTATGGACCAATCAGATTCCACCACTCGTATCACTTGCGTTTGCTTCACACAAAATGGTGGCGCCCAGTCAGAACGATCTGATCGATAATCAAGATCTCTACTGTGATCAAACAGGGCTTACATGCATCAAATCATGTGAGCACCTTGATTAAAAACATGAAAACATTTGAAAAAATCTGTTGACAAGTTTGCGGTGCACATGCTTTGCAAATCCTACAATCGATCGAAATCTGCATGACAGTTTACGAACCGAATTTCCATTTTGGTGCGCGATTTTGATTGGACTATGCATAGACTCGTTTGTCCAGCCAAAATGTAACTCCATAATACCAGCCTAGTTCGGCAAGGATGAAAACGGGACTAATATAGTCAGTTAACTCTCTTGCTTCGGATGCCCATGCTTGTCGTAAGAGGCTTCTAACGGGATCAGATGGTCAAGACTAGCTAACTTAGTTGATGCATGGCTTTGTATCCCATTTCGGTAGATCGATGCTCGTGATGTAAATCACTGGATTGTCTGCTCCATACACACTTTCTGTTTCATCTCCTTGCAGCACACGGAGATCACCTGTACGGAGGGGGAGACTGTGACGGTGGAGACGACGTCGGACATGATCAGCAGCGTGCTCGCCGCGGGAGACAGGGACGGTGGGGCGGTGTTGCCTGTTGCTATTGTTCCTAACACTGCATCCGCCTCCAAATCCAAAAGTGAGAAATTGGTGCCTTACATAATGTATAGAGCAAGGAGCTAGAGTTATCTTCCATTCTCAGCAGGTGGCCCAGTCGTCTAAGGTGCCGCGATTCGCTGTGCAGGGTTGCGTCCCTTGAGCACACCAGGAATCTATGATTGTGGGTTCGAATCCCGGTTCGCCCCGAATATGTTTCTAGGTTTGTCAGCACCATACCCGTGCTCGTGGGTTTCACTGAAGTGGTAAACGTCTGAGACCTGCACCACTTTGGGCTTTCCTCCCACATTAAGCTGACACGCCGTGATATAACTGGAATACTGTTAAAAGCGGCGTTAAACCCAACTCACTCAATCCTTTCTCAGCAGGCACAGACATGCATTTCATGTAGGAGACTTTCTCAATTCCGTCAGAAGCACATAATATACCTTCAACATAGCTCCAGAAGAGGTGCATTTTGTGAAATAAGCACTATAAATTGATATTAATTGCTTGATGCTTAATATGCATCAGACACTTGAAAAAAGAAACCGTAGGATGGGCTTAAAAAATGAAAAACTGGTTCTCAGGCAATGACTCTTGAAAAAATTAGGGCGGGCGGGCGATGGTGGTGTGTTCGAGATGCGGAATATTTAAAGGGTTAAGAAAAAAAAAATGGAAATAAAAACAAAATGTGCAACAGACTTGATGATGAGGGTGGTTCCTGAGAAGCAAGACTTTTTTCTTTTTTAGCCATAGCAACATGGCTGATTGATGACTGATTGGCTTCACATTCATAAACTCTGCCTTAGTAGATAATGCTTTATTGACACATTTCGCTTTTGTGGGCTTATGCAGAGCTCCAGATAAGCTGCGTATCTGCGTAAAATACGCATCAGAAATGCACAAATATGCAGTAAAATAAAATCCAAGCGTATCAAATACGCAACGAACATTACAGATACGCTACAAAAATAAAACTTGTGCGTATCATCAAAATATTGTGAAGTAACCCTGCGTATTCGATCAGCAAATCAGCAACCTATTTTTAAATTATAAACGGGCATTCCGTCAACCTTGCCAAACTCCACGATGACAGTTACATCATGATCATTTACCATCACTCTTTCTTGTGGAAGTATCGTGGTACCTTTAAGTCCTATAAAGCTCTCGAACCCACACGACACCAGTTTGCAGGGACTAGATGAAAAGTGTTTTTAAATATTGAACTTAAATACCCACATGTGTAAAAAAACTAATGGGTAACAGAAATTTGAATACGCAGATAGAATTACTGATACCCAATGATTTTAATGCATCATTTTACCCAATGCATGGGTAAAATACCCACAACACCAAAAGCTTATCTGGAGCTGGGGCGGTCGGGTAGCCTAGTGGTTAAAGCGTTCGCTCGCCACGCCGAAGACCCGGGTTCGATTCTCGACATGGGTACAATGTGTGAAGCCCATTTCTGGTGTCCCCCGCCGTGATATTGCTGGAATATTGCTAAAAGCGGCGTAAAACCATACTCACTCACTCACTTATCTGGAGCTCTGTTTTGGGATATTGATACACTTGTGGCAGCGCATGAATGCAAAATATAAATAACCTGGATTATCATCCAAAACTGGCTCCCACAGGAGATATCGCTTGGATGAGATCAAGCGATATCTACACTATAGATATTGCTGCAATGAAATTACATCACAATGCTTTGCAGACCATTGTGACGTCACTGGTTACCATGATGTCACAATCAAATGACATCACTAATGGTCTGCTACTGAAGCTGTTAGCAGTACTTTTTACACTGAAGACACTGCTAATTACTGTCTACAAATTGAAAAAGTTGAAAGAATGATGTTGGATGATAAATAAAATCTCACCCAAGTGTCTTTTGATATCAAATATATCAACACGAGTTGATAAAAGTGGAAAAATTCCGAGGCTTGCCCAGGATTTTTGCCACTTTTATCAACTCATGTTGATATATTTGATATCAAAAGACACTCGGGTGAGATTCTCTATATACCCACATTATGGTGAAATTGTGATGCTATTGGACCTATGGCCTTAGACTTAAGATGGTTTGGTGTTGCACTTTGTTTTTCAATTATTTGTATTAACTCAATTAATTGAATTTTGAAAGCCTAATTGCACTGGCACCTAACAAGAAAGTAAGGATTGTATTTTTGCACAAGTTCTGAAACACTTTGGGTGTTTGTGAAGTTTTTGCACTGACATTTAAGAATAGTTAATTGGTAATAATTTTCATGATAAAAACATATACTGATGAGAAAAGAGTGATCTTGTCTATCTTGATTTGTTAAACTTAGCTGGAATAGATGCTGAAGACCATGAACTGTGTAATAATTTCTAAGTGGAAACTATTGATTCTCATAAGAATCTGAACATTTTAATTTGAGGAAGATTCTTCATCATAAATGTCAGCATGGTTAAAGAAACTGGACAATTTAGTCTCAATTTGATCAATGTTTGGCAGTTTATATGACAGGAATGTGTTAATTCTAATTATGTTATTGTGAGGCAGCAATGTCCTTCGTGATAATCTGAATTTGAATTGCCTCAAAATGAGTTGCTTAATGAAGATTGTGTGGCCACAATGGCTGCTGTGTCAGTATTGCACTTGGAATACCCATCAAGGCAGAAAACCCAGTCGCTCTCTCCTTGTTTATATGGAGTGGAAGAATCCAGTGTTTTTACTTGATACTGTACTGTACTGTACTGTACTGTACTGTATAGTATTGTACTGTACTGTATTGTATTGTATTGTAGTGTAGTGTAGTACTATATTGTATTGTATTGTATTGCAGTGTACTGTACTGGACTGTACTGTATTGTAATGTACTGTACTTTAGTGTAGTGTGCTGTACTGGACTGTATTCTACTGTACTGGACTACTGTACTGTATTGTACTTTTTTGCAGTGTACTGTACAGTACTGTTCTGTAGGGTAGTGTACATATTGTACTGTACTGTACTGGATTGTGGTGTAGTGTAGTGTACTGGACTGTATTGAATTGTACTGTACTTTATTGTAATGTATTGCAGTGTATTGGACTGGACTGTATTGAATTGTACTGTACTGGACTGTATTGAATTGTACTGTACTTTATTGTAATGTATTGCAGTGTACTGTACTGTATTGGACTGGACTTGACTGTACTGTATTGGACTGGACTGGACTGTATTGAATTGTACTGTACTGTATTGTATTGTATTGTATTGTATTGTACTGTACTTTATTGTAATGTATTGCAGTGTACTGTACTGTATTGGACTGGACTGGACTGTATTGAATTGTACTGTACTGTACTGTATTGTATTGTACTGTACTTTATTGTAATGTATTGCAGTGTACTGTACTGTATTGGACTGGACTTGACTGTACTGTATTGGACTGGACTGGACTGTATTGAATTGTACTGTACTGTATTGTATTGTACTGTACTTTATTGTAATGTATTGCAGTGTACTGTATTGGACTGGACTGGACTGTATTGTACTGTACTGCTATACTGTACTGTATTGTATTGTAGTCGATTGGGCTGTACTGTAGTGTATTGTACTGTATCATATTGTATGAAACATTATGAGTAATGAACTTGAAATGCTAATTTCAACACGTTTTGAGACATTTGACTGGCAACACATTTGAGGTAATTAGGTGGGTCAATTATTTCAGCAAGTGTATCGATACAGTAGAAAACGTATCATGTATCGTATAGGCGCATGAAAACTCAAGATGCACCAGTGCACCGATGTATTGTTTCCCCCTTATGATACATCAGTTTGTAGGCTAGGCATGCTTGCTGGTCAGGTTTAGCGAAATGGTGACAAATTAAAAACATATTTATTACATTTTTAAATCAAAAGAAAAGGGTGCTGATGATTGTTAGGATGTAATTGTTTATGGATATACAAAATAGGCATAATGCTTTGACATGTTTCCCCCTGTCAGGGATCTGGGTTAGAATAGGTCCCCAGCAAGCGACCGGTGAAGATTCCAGGGTAGAATAGGTCTTCAGCAACCCATGCTTGCCGTAAAAGGTGACTGCTTGTCGTAAAAGGCGACTAACGGGATCGGGTGGTCAGGCTCGCTGACTTAATTGATGCATGTCATCGATCCAAATTGCATGGATCGATGCTCATGATATCAATCACTGGATTGTCTGGTCCAGATTTGATTGTTTACAGGCTGCCGTCATGTAGCTGGAATATTGCTGAGTGCGGCGTTAAACAAAACACCAACCAACCAACCCCAGCAAGCTATGCTGGTCGTAAGAGGCGGGCAAATTGAATGGGTGGTCAGGCTCGGTCACCTGGTTGAAATTGTGTCATCGTAACCTCACGGCACAATATCAGTCACTGGAATGTCTGGTCCAGATTTGATTGTTTACAGGCTGCCGTCATATAGCTGGAATATTGCTGATTGCGAGGTTAAGCACCAAACAAACGAACTTTGACATGATTTGAAATACTTGTCTGTAACATGAGGGCAGTGAAAAATTTGCTGTGAAAATTGTGGCCATCTGATTAAATTGAACAGAACCTATAACGAAGCCTTGTATGACTGTAAGTTGGAAATGCAACCAGATCTGGGTTTTTTCTTTGTGGAAATGAATTATCTACATCTATGTTTTAACACTTTGTCCACTGTTGTTTCAGTCAGTGACTGAATCCTCCTGTTTAGCAATGTTTTCATATATTGTTATGTCTAGAAGATGGGGAAATCTCGGACCAAAGCAGTACATCCGTCCTGGCCACCCTTGCTGCCCTTGCTGAGGCCACGGCGCCCATCAACACACAAAGTAAGGCTAGCATTGCAGTCTAGGGTAATGAGGCAGAATAGATCCCCAGTGTCCCTTGTCTTCCTCTGGGGTAACGATGCAGAATAGGTCCCCAGTGTCCCTTGTTGTCTTCCTCTGGAGTGACGAGGCAGAATAGATCCCCAGTGTCCCTTGTTGTCTTCCTCTGGGGTAACGAGGCAGAATAGGTCCCCAGTGTCCCTTGTCTTCCTCTGGGGTGACGAGGCAGAATAGATCCCCAGTATCCCTTGTCTTCCTCTGGAGTGACGAGGCAGAATAGATCCCCAGTATCCCTTGTTGTCTTCCTCTGGAGTGACGAGGCAGAATAGGTACCCAGTATCCCTTGTTGTCTTCCTCTGGAGATATTAGGCAGAATAGGTCCCCAGTACCCCTTGTTGTCTTCCTTTGGAGATATTAGGCAGAATAGGTCCCCAGTACCTCTTGTTGTCTTCCTCTGGAGAAACGATGCAGAATAGGTCCCCAGTACCCCTTGCTGTCTTCCTCTGGGGTAACTATGCAGAATAGGTCCCCAGTACCCCTTGTTGGCTTCCTTTGGAGATATTAGGCAGAATAGGTCCCCAGTACCCCTTGTTGTCTTCCTCTGGAGAAACGATGCAGAATAGGTCCCCAGTACCCCTTGTTGTCTTCCTTTGGAGATATTAGGCAGAATAGGTCTCCAGTACCTCTTGATGTCTTCCTCTGGAGTGACGAGGCAGAATAGATCCCCAGTGTCCCTTGTTGTCTTCCTCTGGGGTAACGATGCAGAAAAGGTCCCCAGTACCTCTTGTTGTCTTCCTCTGGAGTGACGAGGCAGAATAGGTACCCAGTATCCCTTCTTGTCTTCCTCTGGAGATATTAGGCAGAATAGGTCCCCAGTACCCCTTGTTGTCTTCCTCTGGAGATATTAGGCAGAATAGGTCCCCAGTACCCCTTGTTGTCTTCCTCTGGAGTGACGAGGCAGAATAGGTCCCCAGTACCCCTTGTTGTCTTCCTCTGGGGTAACGATGCAGAATAGGTCCCCAGTACCTCTTGTTGTCTTCCTCTGGAGTGACGAGGCAGAATAGGTACCCAGTATCCCTTCTTGTCTTCCTCTGGAGATATTAGGCAGAATAGGTACCCAGTATCCCTTCTTGTCTTCCTCTGGGGTAACGATGCAGAATAGGTCTCCAGTACCCCTTGTTGTCTTCCTCTGGAGTGACGATGCAGAATAGGTCCCCAGTACCTCTTTTTGTCTTCCTCTGGGGTAACGATGCAGAATAGGTCCCCAGTACCCCTTGTTGTCTTCCTCTGGAGAAACGAGGCAGAATAGGTCCCCAGTACCTCTTGTTGTCTTCCTCTGGAGTGACGAGGCAGTATAGGTCCCCAGTACCTCTTGTTGTCTTCCTCAGGAAATATGAGGCAGAATAGGTCCCCAGTACCTCTTGTTGTCTTCCTCAGGAGATATGAGGCAAAATAGGTCCCCAGTACCTCTTGTTGTCTTCCTCTGGAGAAACGAGGCAGAATAGGTCCCCAGTACCTCTTATTGTCTTCCTCAGGAGATATGAGGCAAAATAGGTCCCCAGTACCTCTTGTTGTCTTCCTCTGGAGAAACGAGGCAGAATAGGTCCCCAGTACCTCTTGTTGTCTTCCTCAGGAGATATGAGGCAGAATAGGTCCCCAGTACCTCTTGCTGTCTTCCTCTTGAGAAACGAGGCAGAATAGGTCCCCAGTACCTCTTTTTGTCTTCCTCAGGAGATATGAGGCAGAATAGGTCCCCAGTACCTCTTGCTGTCTTCCTCTTGAGAAACGAGGCAGAATAGGTCCCCAGTACCTCTTGCTGTCTTCCTCTTGAGAAACGAGGCAGAATAGGTCCCCAGTACCTCTTGCTGTCTTCCTCAGGAGATATGAGGCAGAATAGGTCCCCAGTGCCTCTTGTTGTCTTCCTCTGGAGATATTAGGCAGAATAGGTCCCCAGTACCCCTTGTTGTCTTCCTCAGGAGATATGAGGCAGAATAGGTCCCCAGTACCTCTTGTTGTCTTCCTCAGGAGATATGAGGCAGAATAGGTCCCCAGTACCTCTTGTTGTCTTCCTCAGGAGATATGAGGCAGAATAGGTCCCCAGTACCTCTTGTTGTCTTCCTCTGGAGAAACGAGGCAGAATAGGTCCCCACCTAAGCAAAAAAACTACTAATGATGAAGTGTGGTATTATGTTTGACTTGATAACCCACGTGAAAATATGTGTTACCTACATTTTAGAAGTTGAAATTAGCAAATGCTGGATTTGTATTCAGTATATTTGATGACTGTACTTAGAGTCAGTGATAACATTGGCTGTGCAGCAGGCACAAGGTGGAACCAATACACAGAGGCCCTAGTGGTCTGATTAGAGTTGTGGCCCTTTGTAGTGCCAGGATTCACTATGGGTGTGTGTTGATTGGTACAGTCAGCTCATTCGTCTAAGGAGGGGATACGGGAGATTAAAATGTATAAAGCAAACATGTTACTGTTTTGTTCTCAAATGCTTAGAACACTTACCATCTTCCCGAGGCAAGAGAGTTAACTGACTTTAAAAGTCCAGTTTCCACCCTTGTCGAACTAGACTGGAATTCCTGGGCTCGATCGTAGCGCCACCAGTGGCTATTACCAGTGATGTCCCTTCTAAGCCTCTCCTATGGACCAATCAGATTCCACCTCTCGTATCACTTGCGTTTGCTTCTCACAAAATGGTGGCGCCAAGTCAGAACGATCTGCTCGATAATCAAGATCTATATTGTGATAAAACAGGTCTTACATCGCGAAATCTTCAAATAACGTGAGCACCATCATTAAAAACATGAAAAGATTTGGAATATATCGGTTGACAATGAGTTGGCAGGGAACATGTTTTGCAAATCTTGCAATCGACCGAAATCTGCACGACAGTTTACTAACCGGATTTCGATTTCGGTGCGCGATTTTGATTGGACTATGCAAAGACTCGTTAGTCCAGCCAAAATGTAACTCCATAATACCAGCCTAGTTCGGCAAGGGTGGAAACTGGACTTTTAAAGTCAGTTAACTCACTTGCCTTGGGAAGATGAACACTTACATGCCGAACTCAAGCAAACCTGTACAATATATCTGAAACAAAGTGTGAGTGAGTGAGTGAGTGAGTTGGGTTTAACGCCGCTTTTAACAGTATTCCAATTATATCACGGCGTGTCAGCTTAATGTGGGAGGAAAGCCCCAAGTGATGCAGGTCTCAGACATTTACAACTTCGATGAAATCCACGAGCATGGGTATGGTGCTGACAAACCTAGAAACATAATCGGGGTAACCGGGATTCGAACCCACAATCATAGGTTTCTGGCATGCCCAAGGGACGCAACTCTGCACAGCGAATCGCGGCGCCTTAGACGACTGGGCCACCCGTGCCCCCCTGAAACAAAGAAAACACAAAGATATCCCAACCACGTTCTTGACATAACACGTTGTTGTCGACAGTTTGATCGTTGTGGTCAAACCAGATACCCTTAAAACTAGTACAGCAGGGGGCACGGGTGGCCCAGTCGTCCAAGGCGCCGCGATTCACTGTGCAGAGTTGCTGCCCTTGGGCACGCCAGAAACCTATGATTGTGGGTTCAAATCCCAGATCGCCCCGATTATGTTTCTAGGTTTCACTCACTCATTCAACATTAAGCTTACATCCTGTGAGACCGCCTCTGTGATCTAGTGGAAGAGACTCCGCCTGGAGAGCGAAAGGTCCGGGGTTCGATCCCCGACTGCGTCGTACCAAAAGACTTTAAAAGATGGTACTTGTTGTTACCCTGTCTGGCGCTCGGCATTAAGGGGCTAAAACAAGGACTGGTCGGCCCGGAGTCAGTATACTGTGTCTGAGTGGGGTATTGATGTTAAACTGCGACATGGTATCTCAGTGGGCTAGCACTATAAATCAGCATCAGTCCGGACTAGTACAAGCAGCCACACACACACACACACACACACACACACACACACACACACACACACACACACACACACACACACACACACACACACACACACACACACACACACACACACACACATGTGCATGCACGTCGCTATATAAGTGCAATAATCTTGGACGCGACGTTAAACCCCATTTCACCTCACCAACCCTTTCATCCTGTGAGGTAATAGCAGTTCTTCAAAACTGAACTTACATAAACACAAAACTGACAAAAAATAATTGAATTTAAGGGGTACCATGTAAGAATTTGTGAACCCTGTATGGAATTAGTCAACTGGAAATGTTCATCCTTTTTTTAGTGGAGTCACTCTTTGCATGTTTAAATGTATGTTAAAAAATGAGTCCCAGTGTGAAGTTTTGAACTGTTGATGTCGTGTGTTCCAGACGTGAGCTCATCCGAAGCGATGAACTGGTTGGAGAGTCAAGGCATCACAATGATCTCAACAGCAGATGGCGGCATCATCACTTCGGCCGTGGAGAGTGGCCAGACGATCTCACTCACAGGTTGGTGATGGGGACGCATGGTGCCACAGGGGTAGAAACTAACAGTTTCAGTCCACTAGTCCTCAGGCCCGTGAAGATCCGGGGTAGAATAGGTCTTCAGCAACCCATGCTTGTCGTAAAAGGCGACTATGCTTGTCGTAAAAGGCGACTAACGGGATCGGGTGGTCAGGCTCGCTGACTTGGCTGATGCATGTCATTGGTCCGAATTGCGTGGATCGATGCTCATGTTGTCAATCACTGGATTGTCTGGTCCAGACTTGATTATTTACAAACTGCCGTCATATAGTTGGAATATTGCTGAGTGCGGCGTTAAACAACAAACCAAACCAAATCTTATAATCATATCATATAGCAAAACCTCTAAAAATGGCAAATTTCTACTAGCCCTTTTGATACCTTTACTACTGGGCAGTTTGGCAAGGACTACAGGACTAGTGCCAATTTCTAACGTTGTCCCATGGTCGATATTTGTGCGGAAGACATTTTATTTTAAGGGGAATATATAGGAACTGAGTTAGTCTGTTCGGTCGGGTAGCCTAGTGGTTAAAGCGTTTGCTCGTCACGCCGAAAACCAAGGTTCGATTCCCGACATGGGTACAATGTGTGAAGCCCTTTTCTGGTGTCCCCCCACCGTGATATTGCTGGAATATTGCTACAAAAGGCGTAAAGTTAAACTCACTCACTCACTCAGTGGGGACAAATTTTCTCTAAAACTGTTTAAGTTAAGAAATGAAATTTTATGCATTGATGTTACTTGTCATTATCTAAAATGATTTCGAAAACTGGTATCTTAAATACATTTTTTACAGTTTTACAGAGTTAAGATTCTTGTTCCATGCTTTTCAACTTAGTGCATACTGTGTGAAAGTTTTCTCAGAAACCATTGAAGTCAATAAATTGTATTATTTTGCTACATGTTTCCAAAAAGGTCAGTCCTACCAAGGTTCTGTCCGTCCGTCCGTTCGAACGTCCGGAAACTTTCTCTTAAACTATTCAGTGGATTCCTCTCAAACTTAGTACATATAATCTGTGTCATATGGAGGGGTGCAGTCAAAAGAAAAAAATTGTTTTGATTAATTTTCCATTTTTTTATGAATTTTTCAAACCCTAACCCTATCCATTATTTAATTTGAAACTACTGACACACTAGGCGGGTCGGGGGTATTAGTGAGGCAGGTCGGGGGTATTAGTGAGCCACGCTCACTTTTGCCCTTGTTTACATTCTGTCTTTAAATTAGACACGATTCTTGAGAAACCACATTAAAGTTTGCTTGGTTATAAGAGATACTTGTCAAGACTGAGCTGAAATATATTTGTGTGTATCAATTTTACATTTAATCAGATTTGACCGTCTCCGTGGTCTAGTGGTAGAGGGGGTTCGAACCCCAGTGGTATCATATCACTAGACGTTAAGGGATGTTACTTGTTGTTACCCTGCCTGGTTTTAGGGGCTAAAACAAGGACTGGTCGGCTCGGAGTCAGTATCCATACTGTGTCTGAGTGGGGTATTCATGTTAAACTGCGGCATGGTATCTCAGTGGGCTAGCACTATGAAAGTGGCATTAATCCGGACTAGCACAAGCAGCCACACGCACACACATGCATGTACGTCGCTAGATGTGTGCAATAATTTTACACGTGTAGCGGCCATAACATTTTCTAGTCCCATGATGGGATTCGAACCACAGATCTTCTGATCCGAGGTCGCACACATTGTCCACGTGACTAAAGAGCTCAACCCCGTCAGCAAGCTGATAAGGTTTCATTTGTGTGCATGATGACTCCATGCACTGCTACCAACGCAACGTCAAGCCCCATTTCAATTCAGATCACCTTGAAATATCTACCTGCGAAGACTCCTATTTTTGTCTTACACACCTTAGAATTTACACCATCAGTCAAAAGCATTATATGGCCATGACCTATTAACAAAATCATATATCACAGGTCGGCTCTGAGGCTCGGAGTCACTAGTTGTAGGCCAGTTAGTTTGGAGAAGGGCCAGTGACTTTTAAAAAGAGTAAGCCCAGTTGGCTATGAACGAATTGATTGTTAAATCTACAGTATGCAACTAGTCAAAAGCCTGACCAGTAACAAGTTTAAGTCTATTTTTCCGAGCTAACAATAGTCCAAATGTTAAATTAAATCTACTGGTGAAATTACCTTCAGACAAGTTCGGAGGAACAGAGTCTGTCAAATTAACAAGATGTTCTCAGTAATTAATCCTCGATTAATGAGTGTCAACTCAGTTTATTGCCTATTACAGTGATTGACCGCTTGGACTATCATGTAGGTACGATGTATTTACAGCAATCTTCATTGTGTTACAACTGCAGACAGAAACTGCTCAGTCCTAACTGTTGATCATGTCCGGTCAAAATTTTAAGAATGTCCAGACAATACTTTTTTAAATGTCCGGACAGAAAAATTTAAATGTCCGGTAAGCAATATTTGAAACTGGACATTTGAGATTCCCAATCGGACATGTCCGGCGCATATGACGGTTTCCGGATCCCTGGAACAGACACATGTTTTATGGCACAGGCTGTTCTGAAGATAAATCTGTGAATATCGTGTTTCAGAGGCTGGCAAGATCGCGCTGAACCTGATCCGGCAGCAGGGCCTAGGTCAGGCAGTGTCTCAAGATGGGGAGGTGGAGAGTGCTATAGAGAACGTGGTGGGCGCGGAGGAAGAGGAGGAACAGGTATGTACCACACGTGGGGCGTGTGTACATTTGAACATGTCTCATAGCATCTTCCCGAGGCATGAGAGTTAACTGACTTTAAAAGTCCATTTTCCACCCTTGCCGAACTAGGCTGGAATTCCTGGGCTCGATCGTAGCGCCACCAGTGGTTATTACGGAATATGTCCCTTCTAAGCCTCTTCTATTATGGACCAATCTGATTCCATCACTTGCATTTGTTTCAAACGAAATGGCGGCGCCCAGTCAGGATGATCTGATCGATAATCAAAATCTATAATGTGATAAAATGGGTCAAACATCGCGAAATGCATCAAATCACGCGGGCACCTTGATTAAAGACATGAAAAGATTTGGAAAATATTTGTTGACGAGTTGGCAGTGCACATGCCTTGCAAATCCTGCAATCGACCGAAATCTGCACGACAGTTTACGAACCGGATTTCGATTTCGTTCCTCGATTGTGATTGGACTATGCATCGTCCTGTTAGTCCAGCCAAAATGTAACTCCATAATACCAGCCAAATTCGGCAAGGGTGGAAACTGGACTTTTATAGTCAGTTAACTCCCTTGCCTCAGGAAGATGGTCTCATAGTTTACAGCATTTTTTCCATATACACTGGAAGCGGTCAAATTCGGACTTAGTTAGGAGGGTAAAATTGTCCATTTTACGGCAAGGTCCGGATTACACAGAGTACAAAAAGGTTGGACTGAAGACAAGACGAAAAGCAACAATCATTCATCTTTATTCGCATGCACATACATTGTACATGAAATATTGACATATTATACACATTAAAACCTTATTTACTTGTGAACGTCATTGAGAACAGTGTTTTTCTTTCTGAAGATTGTTTTTCAAAATTGTGTCGTCAGTCACATTTTTGAGAGGAAGTACAGAAAAGTGGTTGGTTCACTTATGATATGCTATGTTTACCATTATTTATATCACTAAGTTAATTTTATTAAGCTGAGTTTCTCATTAACAGGTGACTAAATTCTAATCAACTAAGTGAGCGGTCGGGTAGCCTAGTGGTTAAAGGGTTGGCTCCTCATGCCGAAGACCCGGGTTCCATTCCCTACATGGGTACAATGTGTGAAGCCCATTTCTGGTGTCCCCCGCCGTGATATTGCTGGAATATTGCTCAAAGCGGCGTAAAACCATACTCACTCACTCACTCCTAGAAATAGACAAGGCGAAACCCTGATGGTAACAGACAAGCTGACTTTGTTTGAAAAATATACTTATATGAATATCGCCGTTGTTTTGTTCAACAACAAAGATTTATAAGGTACTTTATTTGCCGGCCCACAGGGACTGGCAGTCACATGAATTACCAGTCCAAGCCTAATTTTACCGGTAAAAAGCTGGTAATTACCGGTAAACGTGAACACTGAGTTGTAGGTCAGTTTGAGTAATGGGAACTTAGGGATCCAGAGAAAACGTCCGATGTTCACTAAAATCCGAATTTGACAGATTCCACTGTGTTTCTAGTTTGACATTTCCAGTGGGCCGAAAAGGCTCTTATACCTCGTACTCGCGAAGATCCGGGTCAGAATAGGTCTTCAGCAGCCCATGCTTGCCGTAAAACGTGACTATGCTTGTCATAAGAGGCGACTAACGGGATCGGGTGATCAGGCTCGCTGACTTGGTTGATGCATGTCATCGATCCCACATTACGTGGATCGATGCTGATGATATCAATCACTGGATTGTCTGGTCCCGACTCAATTATTTACAGACCGCCGTCATATAGCTGGAATATTGCTGAGAGCGGCGTTAAACAACAAACCAAATCTTATACCTCGTCCTTGCATTTAGAATTGAACAGAGATGAAGGACCGCAACTCTCGTTTGTTTTGCTTCCAGAAAGTTATAACCATTGTAGCCAACCAGGGAGACACCGAGATCCCCAGCAACAACGGCGGCACGGTGCTGGTGGCCGTCAACCCTGACGGCACCACCACGGAGATCCCCATGGAGGCACAGATGGTGGAGGAGTCACAAGGTAGCATGATGAAGTTGTTTTTTTTTGTTTTTGTTTTTTTAGCAAACCATGTGAATTCCAAGAATTGGTTCCCAGCTGATCATAAGAGGTGATGGATTGGTATCAGACTTAAGGCTGACCTTTTGGTATTCGAGCAGTGGGGCTGGGATCTCATAAAAAAAAAAATTGTCCCTGAAAATTCTTGAAAAAAATATTAATATTGTTGGGAAAAAAAAGAATTTGCCTGCTGCAATAATTACATTGTTGCAATGTGTTTTTTAGGAAACAATGTTTTAGCTTGTTTTGATCAATAGAATATCTGGTTTTGCAGCTGTAGCTATTCTAGCAGTGAATAAGTTTGTAATAATATTATAAAAATGCCGGCCACAAGTGCAAAACTACGAAGTTCACGAAAACTAAGCTCAAAAGTTTGCAGAATTGTGTGCAGGATTATCAAAATTTGACATGCATCAACCAAGTCAGCGAGCCTGACCACCCGATCCTGTTAGTCGTCTCTTACGACAAGCATAGTTGCCTTTTAGGGCAAGCATGGGTTGCTGAAGACCTATTCTACCCCGGATCTTCACGGGTAAAAAGCAATATTAACCAAGACATGGTCTGTATAAACAGGTACTGACCTCATATAAGGCTAAACAAAATAATAGTCTTGGTTCTCAGGCACTGCCCACATCATCATAGAGTTCATTGCACGTTTCGTTTTTGTTTCCATTTCCAATTTTTTTGTGTGCATTGTTTTTAAGTATTAGGTTTTTTATATATTTTTTTTAAAAATGGAAATAAAAACAAAATGTGCAGCAGACTTTATGCCTGAGAACCAAGACTATTATTTTGTTTTGCCTAAGGTCAATAATTATTTTAATGTAAAATCAGGAGAAAAAAACATTCAACATATCCATCTATTGTTAGCTGCAATAACGTTAGGAGGTTCCAACAGTCAGACCGCCTCCGTGGTCTAGTGGTAGAGCGTCCGCCCGGAGAGCAGAAGGTCCGGGGTTCGATCCCTGGCCGCGTCAAACCATAAGACATTTAAAGATGGTACTTGTTGTTACCCTGTCTGGCGCTTGGCATTAAGATGCTAAAGCAATGACTGGTCGGCTCGGAGTCAGTATACTGTGTCTGAGTGGGGTATTCATGTTAAACTGCGGCATGGTATCTCAGTGAGCTAGCACTATAAATCGGCCTCAGTCCGGACTAGTACAAGCAGCCACACAAACACACACACGTACATGCACGTCGCTATATAAGTGCAATAATCTTAGACGCGATGTTAACCCAATTTCACCTCACCTCCAACAGTCAGATTGGCTCAGGTTTAGGGAATACCATATTGGGTAATTCCCGTTTTAATTTTAGTAACTTATAATACCTTACGTTAGCAGACCTGTCTTGGAGTCAATATGCGTGTCTGTCGAATGACACACATCAGCTTCTAGGCCAATGAATATGGCGGAAAACTTTATATAATTTTCGGTGTCCATGTTTTCTACTCATGCCAGACTTCCACTTTGAGGGTTATAGGTAGCACTTGCTGATAATCAATTATCTCCCTTGCTACCTTTCAGTTGATGAGACAGAAATCACAGAGCCCCTGTTGAAAAAAATCAAAACTGAGGATGGTCAAGGGGAGGTAATCCTGGAGGAGGTCGCTCTAACAGAAACAGATGCTCTACAAACGGAGGAAACGCCATTAGTTATGGCTGAGGATGTAAGAATGAGTACAGTGACATTGTATCGTAGAAACATACATACAGTATTCGACCCAATAAGCGCCAAGGGAGCTTAAAATAAAGACAGAAGGGGTGGGCGCTTATTGGGACCAATTCAGAGTCAAATTGGCGTAAATTCATCAGTAAGCCTTAAGTCACAAATATCTAAAATAAACAGAATACAGTCATGCCCCGCTTATACGGACTTCAAATATCCCGAAACCTCGGTTCCCGGACGATTTTCATTTAAAACGAAATTGCGCTTATTGGGACATGGTCGAATACAGTACTTGAAGTCTTTTAACTGTCCTGTTTCCTTACAGCAACTTAGGTGTGAACCGTAAAATGTTCGTACAAGATGCAATCTTGTTTTCAAGCAGACAAGTCAATATTCATCTCATGACAGGTCAATACTGATCGTATGACGAGTCAATGTTCGAGGTCAGTGTCAGTCACATGATTCCGGGGTCTTCATTGAAATGTGTAGTTTCTTCACATGGTACGGATTAACAAATGTGATTGTAAGATTCTCAATCAAGGACAGATCGAGCATTTTTGAAAGGCAGGGGTCCAAAATATCAAAATCTTTTCAGATAATTTAATGAAAAAATTAAACTTCTATTTTTTAATTTTTAAGAATATTTTTTATTATTATTAATTTGAATATTTTGAGAGACTCGTCTTTCATTAGTCAACCTGCACGATGGGGCAGGATATTGTAATTGATATCTTTTCCCACCAAAACTCATCTTCCCGAATCAAGAGAGTTAACTGACTTTAAAAGTCCAGTTTCCACCCTTGCCGAACTAGGCTGGAATTCCTGGGCTCGATCGTAGCGCCACCAGTGATTATGACAAGTTATGTCCCTTCTGAGCCTCTCCTATGGACCAATCCGATTCCACCTCTCGTATCACTTGCATTTGATTCAAACTAAATGGCGGCGCCCAGTCAAGACAATCTGATCGATTGTCAAGATCTATATTGTGTTAAGACGGGTCTTACATCGCAAAGTGCATCAGATCACGTGAGCACCTTGATTAAAAACATGAAAAGATTTGGAAAATATGTGTTTACAACGAGTTGGCGGTGCACATGCTTTGCAAATCCTGCAATCGATCGAAATCAGCACGACAGTTTACTAACCGGATTTCGATTTCGTTGCGCGATTTTGATTGGACAATGCATAGATTCGTTAGCACAGCCAAAATGTAACTCCATAATACCAGCCTAGTTCGGGAAGGGTGGAAACGGGACTTTTGTAGTCAGTTTACTCACTTGCCTTAGGAAAATGACCAAAACTGTGCCTCAGCTGTCTGACAAGAGAGTGAAATACGTCCCGAATGTCACTGATTGTTACTGAAAAATGTGAGGGCGGTCGGGTAGCCTAGTGGTTAAAGCGTTCACTCGTCACGCCGAAGACCCGGGTTCAATTCCCGACATGGGTACAATGTGTGAAGCCCATTTCTTGTGTCCCCCGCCGTGATATTGCTGGAATATTGCTAAAAGCAGCGTAAAACTATACTCACTCACTCACAACTGAAGCATGTAATGTTTCTTACAAGATAAGGTTCATTCTTTGATATTTGATCAGAAATAAGGTCTTGTCAGGCTGAAATATTCTTTCCCTGTGTTGACAGTTAATCCCTGCATCCAGACATTTAATGCATTGTGACAATGCTGATGTGTCATCATACTCCAAGAACTTGTTCCGTAAAAGGAATAACTCATGAATATTAATGACCCCACGACCTAATTTTGCGATGCTAGTAGAAATGAATTCTACTGTAGTTTCTACGCATTTGTACATTTTAATCCATTTGGAAACTCTGTAGTTTTTTAATACATTCTTTTTGGGGACAAAGTACATGGCCTCTACAAGTGCGTCTAGTTTCGATTGTGGGACCCACCTTGATTGGGCAAGCAGAGTTAGCTCCCTTTTCGAACCATCGATAATGCAGTTTCGTCTTATTGTGCTTATAGTGTGCTTACTGCCGTTTCTGAGCTCCCTGGCATCTAGACCCATCGAGGGAATGTTTGTGATCTATGTGGGTTTTCTTTGCCAAAATCTAAATTTCCAAATTGATGTGGTAAAGAAATATACCGTATTCGACGTAATAAGCGCCCCGCTCTAACAAGCGCCCACGGCGATATTTGCTAATATATTGGCTAGTGAACAATCCCAATTAGCACTCCTTCCGATTGATCAATGTACACAAGACTTATTTATTCGCGTATAATACACACTCGTTTGTTATATGCATTCTTAATTATGGGCAATTAAATTCCGGAAAAATTATGTCTGTCGCATATAAACATTTCAGTGTGTCAGCATAAACCACAAAATTTATCTTTCAACTCTGTTTTTTCCCCTATTTGTCCCCCGCCGCGATATCTCAAGAACTTAACACTGGATTGTCTTCACATTTGGAACTATGGTGTATATACAGACTCCGCAGACACCAGTCGGTTTTGGTGACCTTGACCCCATTTTCAAGGTCACAGCAGGCAAATCTGCTTTTGGAGTTGGAAAAGTGTTGCTGGGATATCTCAAGAACTAATTTCTGGATTCCTTCATGTTTGATGATATTGGCTTTTGGAGTTGGAAAACGGGTGTTGCATCGATATATGCAAAATTTACGACAAATAGTTCCATGGAGGTATCTAACACAGAAAATAATATGATTCAAAAGGAATAAAATATTTGGAAAAAAAACACATATCGCATAAGGCGGCGGGGGACATTTCGTCACTTTGTGACAAATACTTGTTCTAATTTTGAGAGCGCCCTGGGCACTTATTACGTCAAATACGGTAACTGAACCGTTTCTGAAACCAGACATTATTGGTTCGAGGACTCCCACGTTTCATTTAGATTTGACAATTAGAGTTTGCTCAGTGTTCCCCTGATGCAATCTATAGAGGGGTGGGGGGGCACGGGTGGCCCAGTCGTCAAAGGCGCGGCGATTCGCTGTGCAGAGTTGCGTCCCTTTGGCACACCAGAAACCTATGATTGTGGGTTCGAATCCCGGTTCGCCCCAATTATGTCTCTAGGTTTGTCAGCACCATACCCATGCTCGTGGGTTTCACCGAAGTGGTAAACGTCTGAGACCTGCATCACTTCGGGCTTTCCTCCCACATTAAGCTGACACGCCGTGATATAACTGGAATACTGTTAAAAGCGGCGTTAAACCAACTCACTCACTCACTCACTGTAGAGAGGTTGTCAGATCTTCACACAGAGCGGTGTTGTATTAGGAGTAAAATAGAGCTCCAGATAAGTTTTTGAGCAATTGAGTTTTTACTCGGAGGTAGAAATCTAAATTGGGTTATTACATTTTCTATTGGGTAAGCAATTTTTTTTCTCTCATCTGTTCATCACTCTATTTGTTTTTTCCCCAAATGAGCTAACATTTTGAGATTTTAAAAAAAATAAAATAATGTTTTAGTTGTTTGTAAGGGTTCTAACTATAGGCTTAACTCAGAAAGTAAGTTAGCTCATATTTGTGTTTCCGAAATAAGCCTTATTGTACGCATGCTGAAAAAGCTTCATTGGGTATTTACGCATGCTGTTTTTATGCATTTTAGTTTTCCATTTAATGCATGCGCTTCTGCACGGAAGTTAATTAATAGTAATTGGGTTTTGAATATATTTGGAGGGTGTTTTATACATTTTAGTTTTTCATTTAATGCATGCGCTTCTGTAGGCAAGTTTTGGGTTTTGAATATTTTGGGACCCGTGAAGATTCCCGGGCAGAATAGGTCTCCAGCAACCCATGCTTGCCGTAAAAGGCTACCATGCTTGTCGTAAAAGGCGACTAACGGGATCGGGTGGTCAGGCTCGCTGACTTGGTTGATGCATGACATCAATCCCAATTGCGTGGATCGATGCTCATGATATTAATCACTGGATTGTCTGGTCCAGACTCGATTATTTACAGACCGCCGTCATATAGCTGGAATATTGCTGAGTGCAGTGTTAAACAACAAACCAACCAACCAACCAATTGAATATTTTTGGGGGGTTATTTTACGCAAATACGCAGCTTATCTGTAGCTCTGGTAAGTAAATGAGATTGTTTGTTGCCGTGGTTACAGGCTGATGAAAACGACCCCGGCCAGGACCGGTTGCGGAGGCAGCTGGAGGAGGTGCAGAAGCAGGCGGAGGAATACAAGCGCCAGCTGCAGCAGAAGCAGGAGGAGGCGGACGGATACAAGAAGAAGCTCAACGAAATTGTCAAAACACCCGAGAAATCCTCTGGGGAATGAACTTTGAAGAATCCCCCTCCCCATCATTGTCTCCTCGTCTTCGAGGCTTTACCTGGTGTTGCCTCCCAGCAACCAGCTCCTCAGTGAAAACAATCACTTCGCTGGTTCTTACAAGCATTTCAGTATGTTGGCCAAAGGAACATTGTCTATTAAAGCAGTGTGTGAACTTTTGCATGAACACAAAGGATATGGGGCTGGGACGGGTCTACATTTACTACCCGACCCCCTATTGCTCGAGTTGGGTACAAAATGTCCGGCAGAAACAATTGAGATGACATATGAAACGCTCTGATCATGCATACACATGTACAAGTCAGAGGAATGTGTGCATGGTCGGAAAGAAATGCAAACATTAGGGACTTGCATTGTAAGCATGAAATTTTATTGTTATTATCATTATATCATGTGACTCAGGACAGGGTAGTACGGTGGGCACTCGGTCCTACTCAGGACCCACCGACCCGAGTACTGAGTTACCTATTGCTGAGTGCAGCATCAAACCACAAACAAACAAACAAACAAACCTGAGTTACCTATTGCTGAGTGCAGCGTCAAACAAACAAACAAACGAACCTGAGTTGCCCGTCCTGGCCATACAAGGGTTCCTTGCCAAGCCCTAATATCAACAAGGAAATATTTATGGGGTCACATGATTCAAACAATATAGCAGCAGATGTCAAGGGAAGCCGTTATATCTAACATGGAGCAAGTATCGCAGACTGATAGTCCTGGCACTGTGACAGTCACAAGGACTGCCTGTCTTCTCCCAAATCTTGTAATTTTACTTGAATCACTTGTCCTGAAATAAACTGAGGACTAGATGAAATGAACCCATGGATAAAGATTGTCAGTTTGTCCATGCATTAAACCTAGTATTATTTCTTGTCAAGGCCAGTATTGAGGGCAATATCGCTAAGACTGTCGACATTTTGTTCCTCTTCTCCTAATCAACTGCTTTCCTCAAAGACCCAGTCCATCAATGCATCTGTATCAATGTATCAGTGAACACCACCTGCTATTGAACATCCGGGGTAGAATAGGTCTTCAGCAACCCATGCTTGCCGTAAAAGGCAACTATGCTTGTCGTAAGAGGCGACTAATGGGATCGGGTGGTCAGGCTCGCTGACTTGGTTGATGCATGTCATCGATCCCAATTGCGTGAATCGATGCTGATGATGTCAATCACTGGATTGTCTGGTTCAGACTCGATTATTTACAGACCGCCGTCATATAGCTGGAATATTGCTGAGTGCAGCGTTAAACAACCAACCAATGCATCTGTATCAGTGAACACCACCTGCTCTGGATAAAAATTTGTTGGCTTCCCGTATCATCTAAAACCTGTAGTTGTTCATCTTCCTCTTGACTGGGTGCCGCCATTTTATTTGAAGCTAAAGCAGTGATGTGGGAGGTGGAATCAATAGGAGGTACATAGAAGGGACATAACTCGTAATAGCCACTGGAAGGCGCTCAGATCGAGCCCTGAAATTCCAACCTGGTTCGGCAAGGGTGGAAACTGGACTTACAAAGTCAGCCAACTCCCTTGCCTAGGGAAGATGACAGTAGTTTCACGTGATGAATATTTGAAGAAGGGATGTAAATCTGTATATGACCTCAGACCATATTATTCTCATGCTCTCTGCCTATTCAGTCTTTTAAGGTCTCAACACTGATATAACCTCTGTAAGAAAAACTAACAATGCTGTGAGCGAATGTTGAAAGAAGGCTCGCTTTAGGTGAACTTGTGGATATGAATGGGGGAGAGTGGTGTAACAATGAGTTGCCTTGGAAACAGCAAGGGCTCTTCGGCTATACAGTGCACATGTACAAGTATTCAAGTGATTATTGAAAGAAAATGGAAAAAGAATTTCAGTTTGGAGTAGGTTAAATTATTATTGTCAGACTGCTTTACAGATTACTGAAAAGTTTGGTTGGAAGGTAAAAAATTACAATTCTGTCAACCCCTTTATGAAGGGCTTTGATATTTTTTGGTTGGAAAAGTTTGGTTGGAAGGTAAAAAATTACAATTCTTTCAACCCTCTTGAAGATTTGTTTTGATCAGCGGAAGAAGTATCTATGAGGCTTCACTGGTTCAAAGCCTCACATAATACAATTTCTATTCCTAATACATGATATTTATGACACAAAAACACAAAATCCCAATTTTAAGTAATTTGAAGGTCAGCCGATCTGTAAGACACGCATCCAAGACAGAATGTAAGGCGTAACTCACCCTAGTGCTCAGATGGCTTTGTGGAACCCCCTGAGAAAGTATTTGATGTCACTCTCCCCAAACATTACATTGTCTGCATCTTGCCTCAAATGCATGGACTCAGCATAGAGTTTGAGTTTTGTCTCGTTCCATGAAGCAGTCGTAGTGTTCCGGCCAATCCTTAAAGTGATAGTAGTGCTGCTATTGACCAATCAGATTGTTGCAACCAGTTAAGGATTTTCTCACTTGGTCCCTGTCAAGTTTCGTGATGATTCATTTTGGGATTTCAGTTAGCACAATGTGATGGATCCAATTTGGGTTGACATCTTGAAGGGGGCACGGGTGGCCCAGTTGTCTAAGGAGCTGCGATTCGCTATGCAGAATTGCGTCCCTTGGCACGCCAGAAACCTATGGTTGTGGGTTCGAATCTCGGTTCACCCCGATTAGGTTTCTAGGTTTGTCAGCACCATACCCGTGCTCGTGGGTTTCACCGAAGTGGTAAACGTCAGACCTCCATCACTTCGAGCTTTCCTTCAACATTAAAGTGACACGCCGCGATATAACTGGAATACTGTTAAAAGCGGCGTTAAACCCAACCCACTCACTCACTCACTGACATCTTGAAGCTAAAGCTAAGCTTACTCTAATCAGCCAAATAATTAAGTTGTCGTTTACCAAGTGATCAGTACTAAATTCTTTACCTTGATGTGCATGCATGGTATCCATTTGTCTGTCGAACTAGGATTACTTTGTCATGAGATTGAACATAGCCAACCCATACCCTAACTCACAATGAGACTAAGGATCGTAAAGGTGTACCCAACACTAAGGATCGTAAAGGTGTACCCATCACTAAGGATCGTAAAGGCGTACCCAACACTAAGGATTGTAAAGGTGTACCCAACACTAAGGATCGTAAAGGTGTACCCAACACTAAGGATCGTAAAGGTGTACCCAACACTAAGGATCGTAACGGTGTACCCAACACTAAGGATCGTGGATCGTAAAGGTGTACCCAACATTAAGGATTGTAAAGGTGTACTCAACACTAAGGATCGTAAAGGTGTACTCAACACTAAGGATCGTAAAGGTGTACCCAACACTAAGGATGGTAAAGGTGTACCCAACACTAAGGATGGTAAAGGTGTACCCAACACTAAAGATCGTAAAGGTGTACCCAACACTAAGGATCGTAACGGTGTACCCAACACTAAGGATCGTGGATCGTAAAGGTGTACCCAACATTAAGGATCGTAAAGGTGTACTCAACACTTAAGGATCGTAAAGGTGTACCCAACACTAAGGATTGTAAAGGTGTACTCAACACTAAGGATCGTAAAGGTGTACTCAACACTAAGGATCGTAAAGGTGTACCCAACACCAAGGATGGTAAAGGTGTACCCAACACTAAGGATGGTAAAGGTGTACCCAACACTAAAGATCGTAAAGGTGTACCCAACACTAAGGATCGTAAAGGGGTACCCAACACTAAGGATGGTAAAGGTGTACCCAACACTAAGGATTGTAAAGGTGTACCCAACGCTAAGGATTGTGAAGGGGTGCTAGATCAGAATGGGGTATCTAGGTTTTTCATCACCATACCCGTGCTCGTGCTCGTGTGTTTCACCGAAGTGGTAAACGTCTGAGACCTGCATCACTTCGAGCTTCGGGAATGGGGTATCTGGTCGTAAACAGTGCTTGAATGGATACAAGGGCTAAGGATAGAGTTGGGGATAACATTAAACCTACTCAACTATCCCAAAGGATTGAAGAGGCTTGCGTGATCAGTGAATTGAGAGCTGCTGTCTGAGGCAAATGCTGTTGTAATTTGGGCCCAGACAATCTCATTAAATCATCATTTGCTGAACAAAGATCTGAGGACATCTCATTACAGGGCACGTCAGACCGACATTGTGCGAACTTTGTCGACCAATGGAATGACCAATCAGAAGGCAGCTTTCTCGTGCTTTACGGCACTATTTTCAAATTGGCAACAACGCTTCGAAACATATTTTGACAAATTCTCGATTACAAATTTGAAACCTGAACAAAAGAACATTCTGGAATCGCTAATAGATGATCTAGATTGTAACTATCGTTAGGAACACCCGTGTTAATGTTTTCAAGGATGCATGATTAGAAATCACATTCCGACTGTCACTTTCATGATCTGGTAAGCGACGCTCTGATTGGTCGGATGAAAGGTCGTTCTGGTGTGACCTCTACTGGGATGTCCTCAGATCTTTGTTTAGTGGTAGCGAGAACTAAGGTCTGATTTTAGTGAGATTTGGCCCAGAAAGCTGCAGTCTTTCCTTTCATATAATTTGAATATTGACTTATATCCATTTTCACCAACTAATTATGTGGTCTTAAGGATTTGCTTCTCTCGTCCCACAGGATATCATGTTATCTTTGTAACTGATTTCTTTCCATATTTAACTCCAATTTGTACATGAATCTGGCTTTATTCTTCTGTACATCATGTCAACCTATTTATGCAATGTTTCAGTAAAGCCTCCAAGATGTTGTAACCATGACAACTGGCTCTAAGAGGAGTTGTCATGGAAACATTTCATATTATCATCCTGTAATGGTTCGTTGTTGAACCTACATCCTGATGTATATAGTTTTGTATAGGATAACGTGAAATAAATTTTACTATTTTCATCAGGATTTGTTTCGTTGTCGCTAACAGCAGTAACTTCTGATTGCTTATATCTAGGAAGTGACCGCCTCCGTGGTCTAGTGGTAGAGCATCCATCCGGAGAGCGGAAGTTCTGGGGTTCGATCCCCGGCCGCGCCATACCAAAAGATGTTAAAGATGGTACTTGTTGTTACCCTGTCTGGTGCTCGGCATTAAGGGGCTAAAACAAGGATTGGTCGGCTCTGAGTCAGTATACTGTGTCTGAGTGGGGTATTAATGTTAAACTGCGGCAATGTATCTCAGTGAGCTAGCACTATAAATCGGCATCAGTCCGGACTAGTACAAGCAGCCACGCAAACACACACACGTACATGCACGTCGCTATACAAGTGCAATAATCTTGGACGCGACGTTAAACCCCATTTCACCATCACTATATCTAGGAAGTACAGATGGCCTTGTAATCTACAGCTACAATTTGTTGTGCAGAGTTGCATGCCTTACATATCTCACTACTTAACATGTCGAAAGTACAGACGGCCTTGGATTTTGCAGCGCTGCAATTACTTGAATGATTACCTCCCTTGGTAGTGTGAGGATGTACTATTTGTGGATTCAGATTTTATAATCGCCTTAAGGTCCTGGTCTGCAGCATTCCAGGGATAAAGTGGTATGTCACTTCCTCCTAGTACACATCAATGCTGTGATTTGACTGATACCAGCCAAGTCGCATATTAAGTGATCGCCTCCATGGTCTAGGGGATAGAGTCTGTCCAGGGAGTTATGTACAAAAAGAGGTCGCCCATGAAACACCACACCACACCACACCACACTGACCCGTGAAGATTCCGGGGTAGAATAGGTCTTCGGCAACCAATGCTGGTCGTATGAGGCGACTTAAGGGATCGGGTGGTCAGGCTCGCTGACTTGGTTGATGCATGTCATCATATCCCAATTGCATGGATCGATGCTAA